TTGCAATAACAGTATCCGATATAGTACGAGGCCACGGTGTGATCTACATGGAACTGCATTCAGCATTACTATCTCAGGTCAAAGGGGTCCCGGTCAGCCACGAAGTACCTATCTCAACTTCTAGAAACGAAGAACAAAAAAGAAGTCCTAGAATGGTCTTCTCTCCTAAACCATCCTAGTACCCCCAGGCACAATCTCTCTCTTCTGATTTGTCACGACGTGCTATCGCGATCGTATATGCCAGCAGCTGAGACTTCAGGTCACGCGATGCAGAAGCTCGTGCAAATATACCATTTATAGTAGTGGCCCCGAAATGATCGATCCTCTTGTGCTCTGCAGTGAAACTGAGAGCAAGGTTGTTCACTTAGACAGGATAGGAACGTGTGCGCAATCCCGTATACGCCTCTTATGATCGTCCGTGAGAAAGAGTCTCAGGCAGAACTCCAAAGCTTTTGAGTCAGGATAAGCGTTGTCATCACCGATCAGTGAGAGAGCGAGTAAATGAGTGAGTGAGCATGAGAGTGTGTGTGCCATCATCCTCCGCCAAGCGAATATAATTAGTAAACTGCGCAACGTTCTAACCACAGCGTTATACCCATTCTCGAAGAACCGGTTACGCGGGATCACTATCACTCAGCACGGCGGCGTAGGGCAAGTCACGTTACAACAGCAATTTCAAAAGAAGATGTCTTATTCCAAGTGTCTCGTTCGAGTTGTCGAGATTCGGTGTATACCTGGAAATGAGATTAGGACGATGATGTCTCCAAATTCAGACCTTCTGAATCAGACTCTTGTCAGATCCGTCTTACCATTCAGCCAACAGCGATGACCCTGGACAATCCAAAAATGAGGAACATGAACAACGTCAAGAAAAAAAATTATTTATTCATTTGATTTGATTTGATTTGATTTGAAAATTGAAAATTGAAATATTTAAACAGAATATAATAAAGACAGAGAAACGTCGTAGCATAAGTGGGCTGGCGTACCACGGAGGTAGATCTGGGGGCCGTCATACCGAACAAGTTACTTTTTCTTCAACAAACTTCATGCACCCCAGAATTATAAGGAGTTCCTATGCACGTATCGTACATATACGTCGCCTGTAGGATGTAGTCTATTTTATGGAGATACGCAATCAATATAAATACATATCATATAATATTGACGAGCTCCTAATCTCCTCAGGTGGCGACCTCGAGGGGGTGGTAGGCGAACCCTTGGCGTGCCTACGAAACCCCAGGTTTGGTTGCTCGTTACCACATACAATCCAATCCAATACCGTACTGGTAAACTCGCCGGCTAACTGACGGGTTCGTGAAGAATGCGTGCCGTAGCCGAAAGAGAAGAGAAGAGGAAATGAAATGAAATGAACCAAGCCGTCGCGGCGGAATTGATTAGCTTGTTGTTAGCGGCACGAACACTACCTACTCACCTCCCTTCCTCACCTCCTAAACACTAATCCCCGTAATTTCCGTCCCAAAGATCCCGGGAGATCGGTTCCAGGGTTCTGCGAACGCGTGCGAGCTGCCACCCCCTTGCCCCGTAGGAGTCCCGACGGGCTCGAAGGGCCTTGGATAAATTCGCCGGGTAAAATCCACTCGGCACGCCTCGACTTGCGCGCCATTTAGCCGGACTACTATGTACGAGAGTTCATAAGGCCATGGCCTCGCCGCCGGGGACCCCCTACCATACCCTTTTCTTTTGGGCTTAATTCTCTTCCCTCTTTTTCTTTCTCCAACGGCTAAGGGCACGGGTTGCTTGCCGATGTGGAGGGTTACTTGAACCCCAGGTCTCCCCAGGAACAAGACACGGCACTCACGAAGCTTCAGTCAAAAGTACGACGCTCTTCCCATGGCTAGAAGCCGGGCTGTCTGAGATATCTCCGTTGGCTACTACCGTTGCGTCGGCCTTTTGAGGTCAAAGGAGGCCGTGGGCCATCGGAGTTAGATTAATGATTGGATGACAGGTACTTATTTCTAGGTTATTAGATGATCTATGTATGTGCTTAAGGTATCTAAGGCTAAGATACATTTTATTTTCTTCCCTCCTCGAATAGCTTCCGTGAGCCGTTAGTGATGCTACTTTTTTCTCTATATCGTGCTACTTATTGGATCGTGATCGAGCCGTGCCGCAGGCCTGCGCTGTCGCAATAGCCGTGGCCTTACTCATGTGTGTGCCTTTTGATAACGCGTAAGTTTTGGAGTCTTAGGTAAAACCCGCTTCTTCCTCCACGAGCCCTGCTGCTGCTGGCTGCTGCGTAAGGGTCTTGTCTTAAGCCAGCCAACGGCGCGACTGACACATACACACACGCACACACACACACCCACCACGGGAGTGGTAACGGGACAGTGTAATCAGCGGTGAAGACTTTCTGTATTAGAGCCGTGCGACCCAATAATACATCAATGATGGAGTGTAGGTATCAGGAGTAATCGAAAAGAAAAAACCCTATATTAATCTTGGCGATGCACAAGATTGCTCCCCCGGGGAGGCTAGGCCCAGGTTCCGTTTCGCTGGCGCCGTTGTGCTTGGTCTGATGATCCTTCCCCGCGTCGTCTCCAGAGCCTCGCCATACGACGTGGAGAAATGAACGGTACAAAGATCTGGAGAGGACTTTGTCAGATAGAGGGCAGATTTGTTAGGTAAGGTAAGAGTAAGTAAGGTATGGTAAGACACGACATAATAAGTCAGCACACCCATTTTTACCTATTAATGTTATCATTATTATTATTTCTCGAGGGAGCGGGACAATGTTTCAGGGGGGCTCGGTGCCACCCCCTCCTCCACCCCCAAAGGTACGTAGGATGCTGTCACGCGTTCGATTTGAGACACTTTTTGACAACTCAGCCTTGAACAACTGTCTTCACACCCTCAACAGATCTTGTCGGGACAAAAAGAATAACGGTAGGTCTTTCAGCCTTCCTAATTATGTCTCGGAAAGGAAGGATCTGGGCCTTAGATCTTTAAGCCTTGACAGGCACCTGAGCTCTTTTCGTGTAACTAGCTAGGTACCGATCGGGGGATGCACAAGTCAAATTGGCGATGAGATGAGGTTACAACAGCCGTATGCGTTATCTAAGCGCGAGGCTCTCTGACTCCTTTTCGGTCTATAGAGGGCTATGACGAAAGACTTGACAGAAGGCATACAGCCTACATTGGTGCTGAAGATCAGGTGTGTATTGAGAAGTAGGCTCTCCGAACACGCACAAGTACCTAACAATATGCCTTTCCAATTTCGGGTCTCATCTAGTGAATGTCCACCTGAGGCTATTCGTCCCTCCTATAATTTCAATTAATGCATACCTGTATAGACAGAATAGTTGCTGCAACGTTGTAGATTTATGATATGAAACTTGAGCTTAGTTAAAATTCGCATAGTGATTAGTTGTTTGAGGTAGACGGCGGGAAGGAATCGCCTACCCCTGATCCTAGTGAGGCTCCGGTAGCTTTAATTGACCTCTACTCAGATGCATGTTTTGCGAAAAGCTTACGAAGCCGGGGGAAAAAAGTCTGATGAGATCGGGTAACCAGTGGTCGAGTAATTACCTCGGCATGGGCTAACTCTGGCCTTGGGATCCTGCCGTTGACGGATTTCCGTGACACGCAGTCAACACTATAGCGTTCTGATATTCAAGTAATATTTCATCAGTTGGTCCTGAGCATGTGCAAATAGAAATCTTAATATATATTGACACCATTTATTCGCGACTATTGCTGCGGAGGAAGGCTATCAGCAGAAGTTTAGTCAAGTATAAGTAGCATAAGTAGAGCTAAGTAGGACATCAAGTCCTCAATCTTAGACATACTTAGTATTGTACTGATATCTTCTAATAAGGGAATTATGAACTCTATTCCAAGTTACTCTATTGAGAAGCACATTAGATACGCTGCTAGATTGCGGAAGCTTGGATCGAGAGGTTCATGATACATAGGGGTCTCTAAGACCGTCATGAACGTCTACTCCAAGCCTACATGACTATATGAGTGCAACCGCTACATCGCAAAACATACCCGATTTATGGAAAGAAAACTAGCATCGTGCCTCTATCATGCGATGCATCTCTAGGCTAGCATCTAAAATCATCTCAAGGAAATACTTTTCTACACTAAAAGGGGTACCTAGTGCCCAAACAAGGAGTTCAGTTCTTGTGCTACCCCTATTCACCGCTCTTCAAGCCATCTCTTATTGATGTGATATAGATACGAATGAAGTCATTGAGAAGGTTGAGCACCAACTGAAGTCTGCCGAAGGCAAAAGCCTAATTTGATTGAAAGGACGAATGATGGTGATGAAATAAAAATTTAAAACCCAATTATACTTTGCTTCTAGGATATAGTAGAGTCAGGCTTTATAGTCAAATTTGCGTGGGTAAACTTTGAATTCCTCACATGGCTACTCTACGTAACTGAGTACATCAGTCGTGAGTCAATATTCTAAATAAGGGCTTTTGCTAAGAAATAAACTTGAAAATTTCACTAGATTCGCTTGAAAAGGAATTACACACATCCGACCCTCGCAAGAATTTGGTTGTACAGGGATAAAATTACCTGGCTCAGATTTACCAACCCTCATACCTACTACGGTCCCAATCAAGCCGGTAGTCGTGCCCCTGGGGATACACAACACAATGGAATAAACTTTCTTAGGTTATCTTGTCGAGTATTCGCCATCGGAAGACACCAACAATATAGGTATATCCCACTCATGATTGATCATGCGTTATTCTGTCAAAACCTGCTGATTGAAAAGTGGCAAGTGATGACGGCAGGAAGGAAACTAACTTGGTAGCTCCACAGAACATCGCTATATAACAATATCGTATGGATTCGTAGCTAACAAATCATTGTCTTCGGGTGAGAACTTAGTAGCATGATCCCCTATCAGGAGAACGAATAGCCTATGAAGTCCAAGGGCACAGTCTTTAGCGCCCGTGTTGTGTTGATAAGAACTCTATAACTTAAAGGCATGTCACACTTTAAGAAAGTTAGGTAGCAAATTGCTATAGTGTTTCTTTGAATTCGTAGACTTCGTAATCGCCTTAGGTAGCATAGTATACCCAGCCTTCATCCCTTACCCGAGGAAAAAATAACCAAAATATTGCATTGCCTCAGGTTCATCCGTATTATGCCAAAACCTGTACCCGTTCCAGATGTACACTTGTAATACGTAACAAAACCCCTTTCCTTAGATCGCTGATAGACAAAATATATTCTAATCCCCACCTATTCGCCGAGCCTCTTCTTCAGCCTCCTTATCCATCTCGTCAACCTCGTCCTTACTGAACGCCTTGCTGAACTTTATCCAAGGGCCGTGAACTAAGCCCGTACCCGCACCGACTAGAATGCCTATCCCCGTAGCGGGAATGGCGACCAACCCGCTGACTAAGGCCCCGACAGTCATGCCGAGCCCGCCAGCGATTCCCGCACCTATACCGGCCCCGGCGGCGCCGCCCTGCAGCCAGCCAGACTCGAGCCTCTTAGCCGTCTTCAACAGTTTCGCAGCTTTCACGTCGAGCTCGCGGGCACGGAACTTGAGATCCTCGACAACAGCGGAGTCATTTGCCTCATCGGCTTGCTGATGGAGCTTTACGGACTCTTCTTGGAGCTTCTTGGATTCTTCGATACGCGAGGTGATCTCCTCTACAAGCTTCTCCTTGGTTGTCGGTCTCTTCTTCTGCCCCTCTTTGCTCTCATCTTTGCTGTTATCTGCCATCGCTGATTTGGATAAATTGATTGATATACCGCGACGTTTTAGCAAGAGAAAAGCACTTCTAATACAACAAAAACAAAACAAACCGCGGAATGTCAGAAGAAAGCGTATATGCGTTGTAGAGCATCAGCCTCATCTGTTTAAGGTAGGTTCCTCTTTTGGAAAGAGGTCGTTGTTTGGTTGTGGCTTGACGATTTTGAGGCTCGATCTCCGCTTTGAAACTTTGAAGACATTTGTCTCGCGGGCTATGTATGACGTCGTTTTCGCAAGTCTACCCAACATGTTGATCTAAGTACTACTTGTTACACGATATGCAACTTTAGGTAATTATTTTGTTACTTAGTAACAGTAAGCTCTAGGAAATAGTCGCGATTGAATGATGTCAGCCGCTCGATAAGTTGTTACCAGAAAAGGGGGAAGAGAAACAAGCAAAATGACGACATTTTCCCCAGGCCCTGTGACCTCGAGGCGCGGGGAACATCGTAATTACATAATATCCATTTAATGCTCTTTATTACTTCAAAGGAAAAAATCCCACCAATCATAATCGATATGTTTACGGAAGTGTGCTAGGTAACACCTGCTTAGGTTAAGGACCAAAGTACCTAGGTACCCAGGTTTTTGATCACTTGACGACCACGGGACTATTATTAGGTGGGCATTAGGTGGATTATTTCAAGGATCGAAACCAATCACCACGTCGGCGGGTCCGTCAATCTTAGTTGCGTTTCTTATTAAAGTCCATTAGGTACACAATTACAAGTACCTAAGGGTAATACCTAATAAATCAAAAGTACAATGCGACAATACGACAATGCGACAATGCGAACCAGATAGCAAACCAACGCCCTGGATTCCTAACTTGGAACCCATTGATCCCGTGATCGTTTCAAGCTTCAGATCTTCCAGACCGGTGAGGGACGACGCTCTGAACCGGAGTTCGCATATTGCTTTACATGGACGTGAGGACAGTGGGGAAAGCATTTCAAAAAACCCCAGTAACGCGTTCCCACTTCCTGTCTTCCCATGGGATTATTTTAATTTTTATTATTATTATTTTAATTTTTTTTCTTTCTTGTGCTTATATTTATTTTTGCTACCATGATATTAAACAAGCTGTCGATAAGTAGTATTTGTAGGAGGTACCTTACTTGATTATTGGCAAACGGGATAGTCGAAAACATGTCACACGATTAATCGCGCTTGTGAAGGATAGCAAACAATAAAACACCATTGAAGACATGGCTACCTTCTATACACACATGACACCTTACATAGTGCAAAGGTAGAGCTGTAGAGAATACTGCTACTTACTTAAGCATTAAGAACCGTTTACTATCTCCGATGATGAGCAATGAGCAACTTAGATAATCAGTAAAGACTTATGTGTTGGTATCGTTGAGCTGAAGAAGATCTGGGGAACGTTCCCGCTGTCAGCCAAGGAATTGGAACTGGGTATCCTAGCTGCGATGAAGAGAGATAGGTACGTGGTGGTGTACGTAGTAGGTAGTGTAGATACAATAGGCCCCAGTGACGGGGGTAGTAAATATTCCAAATAATAAAATAGAATAAAAAAATAATAATAATAATAAAAAAATTCTTGAATATTTTTTTATTCTATTTTATTTTATTATTTCCCCCCTTCTAATCCTGACTATATCGTAGCGTCAAAACCAAACTCTGGTACCAGTAGTCTCCCCGTCTCAACGCACGGCCTCTCTTGCAGCAATCCTAACCCATACGCATCTGTGCCCATATCCTGCCCTGTCTTACCTCTGTATGTACATTGTAGGGAGGGGACAGACTAGGAGTTTGGGTGATTAGCATGAAGTGCCACCAACGGGCTCTCGGACGTTCTAGCGTTCTCGCGGGACGGGTCAGCATCCGGCGACAGGGCTATCGTCAGCCCTTGTTTTCTCTTCCTCCTTCTTCCTCCTCCTAGTCAATCTCTTGACTTGCGCGTTTCCCAATTCGAACGCGTTGCCGTTCGCCATGACTCTCTTTCGTGGGTTTTAGCAGCGAGACCAAAAAGCCTTAGCTGAACTTCGACTTCCGGGCTCGTTTCTACCTAATGTAGTTGTTACACATCAAATGCACCCCTAGCCCTTCTAGAAAGAAATTCGAACCGTTCGGCCCTACCCTACAACGTGGCCCCCCCCTCCCCAAAGGAATTTCGCCGATAGCCCTGGGCGCTGGCTTGTTTCGTGAAGCGGAGCTTCCATGTGCCTGACTCCATAACGGAGTAGTATAGTGTATATGTATTGTACTATTGCACATCCAATCACGCTATTCCTCCTCCGATGCCCCTGAAGCTTCGTCATAGCGAGAGAAGAAAAAAAATTTGCGACGGATCGCTGGTTGAAAAAAGACTCGAAGAACACCATTCCCAAAGGAGGTTCGCCCGACCGCACGAGGGCAACTGTGTCTTGAAGCTCCTCAACTAACACGATTGCGTTTTAGCATCGCCGCTGTCAAATTCGTGGTTCCTGCGACGGAGTTACCCTGCGCTAGCTAGTAGTCCTGTCAGGATTATGATCACGGGTAAGTTAAGCGTCTGATGCGAAATTTAGCAGCCTCGCAGCTTGGCAGAGCGAGTAATGTTATCTACCGAGTAGCAACGGGCCTTGGGTGCCTATGTAATCTTAGGTAATAAATCTGATTAGGTTCTCTCTCTCCTGATCGACTTCACTTTGTCTTTTGTTTCTCCACTACGATATCTCCATCGGACATAAGCGAAGTGACTTTTTAGAGAATCCGGCGACTTCAAACGGCTCTCAGACTTTAGTATGTATTAATTTACCAACTGTGATCTGCTTGTATCGCTTAAGGTGCCTGGGTATGGAGACCTAAAACCCCTCATAGAGAAAAGCTAGAATTGCGGATCGCTTCCAAGCCCATGAATCAACATGAGAAGCATAATCGACCCGAGGCCATGGCTTCGGTGGGCTCTGTTTAACAACGGCTTGAAGATGGTATTGGTGGATACGAGATGAAGAGCTCCATTCTTGCCCATCTTACGATGAAGAAAATGGAGAACAGTTGGTCTTTGAGCTACGACTCCGAGTGATCGGGTCGATTTCTTCTTAGATTGGTCTGTTTCGTCCTCGTGGCAACTGTTCACCTGCAAGTATCACCACGAAGTACACGACGGAGTAGGAAGGTCGCTAAATGGTCTTTGCTAATGGGATGAGATAACAGTGTATTGCTCCCACGTGGGCATGGATATGTATCCCCCACACTCTGCACATGTCAACACCACATAATGTAAATGCTATTCCTTCAACCGGGTATAGATGTATTTGGACGGTGAGCAGCTAATTTCTTTTTTATCTTTAAGATAAAAAAGTAAATAAATAAATTTGAATATTATTGTCTTGCCGTTAAGACGTTACTATCTTAATGTTGTTGATCCCTTCCTTCCGTTAAAGATAAGCATTTTAGACATCTCTAAAGAGAATCACTAGCTAGGATTAGTACATTACACGATCTTCACAAAATTTGGCTTCGAGTAGATAAGTTGGTAGTTATAATAAGTCAAGTTATAAGCGAGCTACACCTTAATGGTTACTCGGTCACCAGATACTAAACAATAGTCTTTATCTACTAGTGCTATAACGTCTAAATATATGACCCTAGAAATGACCGGTCAATGGTTTGAAAACATAATAGGATTCTTTTCATCACGAATCCTTCTACCTACTACAAGAGGAATGAAACGCACCTATTACAGTAGCATTTTGAAGGGCACATGCAGGGTCCTCGCGATAGGGTTAACTTCGATGGCACCAACCCATGTGGCATCGTGTGTTCATAATTGTGTGAACTTCACTTAAAGCCGCGGCATCTTACAGTTGGCAGACCGCATGACAAAAAGTCGCGTCCCCTGGCCCTAACCTAAATACTTAAATGGTATCCCTCGGTGAGAGTGGCTAGAACCCATCACCTCTTGCCAAAAGGGGAAGGTCAATAAGCTGTAGCGCGAGGTGACCCCCAAACCCTGGCACCTACTTATTGTAAGTAAATATACGTTGAGAGGTTGTTCTAGAATTGCGGCGGGATAAACTCCGGTCAGAAGTTTAAACGCGAAACGCAACGAATGAAAAGCACCACACCCCGTACGCGATCTGGGTAGTCATCCCAGGGGAGATGACGGGATTTGCGTCGGACAGAAGAGCGTCCCTAAAATTCCGCGTAGGATTTCTCATCTCTTAGGTTTTTCGTAATACCATTGTCCTCCTTTCGGAAGTACAATGCATATAAACCATAATGCTTGTGGTTTTCGAATCCGTGTTAGTTCTTGACATACCTAGGTGGCTATGTTGGGTAAGATGGAAAAAGACGAAAGGAGTAATCATAAGCGGAAACCATCGACAAAGTGTGATTCTAATAGCCCACCTAAGGTAACTATTGTATTGTATAATAGAATAGTTATCCTAAATAAGAATAACTAAATGACAACTGCAAAACAACTGCCGGAACTCGTGACCGCCGGCGCATGCGGCGTACGGCGCAAACAGGCTTAGTTCTTTTCGTTAAAGGTAAGGTACCATCTAGTGTACATGAAGTCCCCGGATTTACATCGGCAACCTTTTTCTAGTATTTTATTTTATTATGTACGAAGTACGAATACGTCGGTCATTATTTTATCTGCGGCGAGCCGCCGGCGCCGAACTTCTCACAGCTCATTAACTTTTTGCGGCTTTTGCGAAAGATGCCTCCTAGCCTTGTCCGCAGCCCTGCATGAACACTACCTGCCGCGATTACGTGTATTTCTAGGTATTATACTAACTACCTCTTAGTGTATGTTGAAGCTGAATAGTTGGTCCCTGGGTTACGCGTTTTCTTTTGTTGAGTCCGAGACTGCCTTGCTTAGACCTGCACTTCCAACTTACCGCCTCCTCATTGACATCGTCAACCCTGTCGGCTTCTTACGTACCTAACGTATATCTATATTGTGCACTATTATCGTCATCGTCAAATCCATGTCCTCGTTGTTATGTTAGTTAGTGTTAGGTATCCGGAGTAATACGGACATAGTAGCTTGTCCAATGCTGCCCAACTTCGGTCTGTTCTAGGACTCCGGATAGTGATAGAACCCTTCTTAATTTCCAAGGTAATGGAAATACTCACTGGTGATAAGGTTGATCGAATATTGCTTGTCCCATGCGATATTAGAGTTAAGTAGTGGAGTTTTCTTATTTTTTATTTTTTCGTATTTTTTTCATCTCGTCTCTTAAACAACCGGAAACCCACCACCGCGGGTTCGATTACACCGTAGATGGACCGATGGGGCATCGCGCGCCCAGCACCGTGCTGTCGGGCTCGATATGGTACTTGCGCGCGACGATGGCGGATCCTGTCACGTCTCAGTACCGCGCAAGTCAACAAAGCTAGCAGTCAAGCTCGAATTTAATCTCCATTGCCCCGAAAAATCACGAGATTTAGCGACCTTGTTAGTGTAAGAGCAGGGAGAAAGAGATCCCTTGTCGTGTTCGGCATTTGGTCTCGTGTACTTGGGTGTTTGAGTGTTCGAAAACGGAAGGGCGATCGGCAAACAGATTACTCAAGACAGTATTTCGCGTGTTTAAAAATTAACGGACGGACCATGTTAGATATGTATTCGATTGATGTCGCGCTATAATACGTAGACATGGGAGAGTCAAAGAACCCAGGGTGTTTCCTTAGAGCGATTTGCGGCTCCGCAGCAATGTGACCTTGAGTTCCAGGCGGAAGGGAGGCCGGTGCATCCCGGAAGCCTTGTGGGCCAAAGGGGGAGACGATGGATCCGCTTTGGGCAGAATAAATCATATATCTTCCAAAGTACCCGAAGCACGAGGCTTCTGGCCCAAGGCTATGGCTTGGGAAAGCACATGTCGTCGTCAAGCGTCAGGGATGGCCGGCGAATTAATTGTGATTTTATATCGTATTGCTGGTTTGAGCTGTAATGAGAAGTACCTACCTTACTCAAGGATTAGAATAAATATAATAAAATCCAACAAGATAAAATAATAAAATAATAATTTTTTTCTTTTTTATTATTATAGGAAAGGGGAGAATAATTTGCTAATGCCACGTGTATTACCAGCAGCATGGTAAGCTTTCCAGTACCCAAGGTAATAAGCAAGGTACTTAGGTATTTGGTATTAAGTAATATTAAGAGTACCAACTTATTGGTAACGGCATACTAGACAAATCAAACATATCTAACCCCAGATTGTTGAAGATTCACAGTGTTTATCAGAGCAGGTGGTCTTAATAGAAGTTTAGTCGTGTAAGATAGAAACACCGGTACAGGTATGTAATATTTAGTTACTTACGTGAATGTAAAGGCTTTTAGCCAGTAGTTACAGTTTCTATAACCTTAAAAGCTTAAACCTAGTAAGCTCTCTAGATTCAAGAGTTAAATATAGGGAGATATTAGTATTAGCTGTGTATCGTCGATCAATTGTTTAAGGCATGAATAGTTTATAATTTATTACGTGGAGAAGAGAACGTATTATTACCTAATTCTATAAAGAATAACTACCTGTGTAACTATTTACTTACTATGTAACTCTAGCCCTGTATCCATAGCCGTAGAATACGTTAGCTAACTTTACACAAGGATGGTGAATGTGGAAAGGCTTCGTCAAGGATATGTGCATGACTTAGCGTAGCGTGGAGCTAAAGTAGCTCCGAGAGGCAGCTCCGGTTACTCCGAAAAACAGCGCCGGAGGTGCCGGAGACTAGCTCCGGGCGCGCAGCGGCTACGTAGATGCTTGAAAGGGCAAGCGTTAGGTAATAGATCACTCTGCTACACTGCTACTGTTTCTAGTATTCACTCTGTGTATGACAACCGTCACGGGATCTCTGATACACTTAATGTAAGCGTAAGTGCGGTATGTTTATTCCGAACTAGACAGCTACTTGGGTACTTAGTAGAAGTCGAATAATGACTAGAGCTATGTATAAATTCGGAATAAGTAAATGGCTTAATACTTACCAAGCAGGTACTTTAGGTTAGGTACTTATTGATGACCAATGCTGATTTTGCTTACTACAAGACTTTTAACGCTTGAAGAAGAGAGCATTAACTCGTAGCAAGTGTGGTTACACGATCGCCTTTAGAATCCACGTGGAACTCCCTTACTTGGAACTACCGAAGTCATGAAGGGCCAACATGGGTTGTCTAGTATAATTAAGACGTTTTAAGATGGAAGAGATCTCTTGAAGATATTTAATTAAACGTATTTGTATATCAGCTTTCGGTAGTACAATGCATTTGCCGTTAGATGCAGCTAATCCCCTAACGTGAATACATCAACGGTAGACCAAAGTCGTCATAGAGCAAACAGCCCCCCCCCCCCTTTTTTTTTTTTTTTTTCAACATACCTTCTAGTAGCACCGAACGTAGGGAAAGGGGAAAGGTAAATAAGATTTCACCTATAATGATAAGGATTTAAGTAGAATATGTAATGCTTGGCTTATATGACAGGCTGTGTCACTCTAAACGCAAGTTTGCGGATCAATTGTTAGTATATTCCATGAGTTGAATGTTAGACTCAAATATGGGCAAGCAAAAGTAGGTTACCCAAGATAGCTTCACGTCCAGTTCGGCCGAATAGACAATTGGGATGGAAATATAGGATTGATATTTCTCGTGCGTGTCATGAGATGATTTCTTGGCTGGACGTGAGAGGAAGGATGGAGAAGGTTAGGAGTTAGTCCTCCATAGCTACATAATAGAGGTATATCTGATTCTAGGTAATTTACTACCTAATTGCTTAGTTTCAAGGCGGTCTGCCAGAACTCCTTTGCCTCTACAAGCGACTCCGGTATAGTATGTGGTACCCGGAAGTCTGTCCTAATATTTTCCACTTAGGCCAAACCAGTTGCGTGTCGCCTTCTTTTGACCAGAACCTTAGGCCGTCACGGCTATAAATATCGGGTCTCTCTTTCCAAGAGCTATGTATTTCCTCGTGAGTGACTGATGAATGATTCTGCAACGGTAGTCCCGTAGGTTTCCACGAGGGCCTGAAGTCTCCTTTGATCCCAAAATGCTCAGCCGTATTGGCGATATGTCTAGTCTGCCACATCTCAAATGGCGAAAGATCAACTTAAGTCGCATTCTTAATGCAGCCTCCATACCTGCTTGATACTCTCGCTCTCTTTGAAAGTGGCATAGAGGACTTGACAACTCGAGACGGCCGAGATTAGGGATGTGACGTCAGGTAAGAATGCAATAATGCGATGGATGAGCTCGGAAGGCAAACGCCCCAGGCAGTTTGAAGGACTCTTCGCCCCTAAAATCGCCGCGGCTGCCTTCTTATCTACCATAGGTTCTCCGGCCGATTAACCTCAGTTGCGGACATCTTGTAGGCATTTGCGTAATGGGATCGCGCCAATCAGGCGAAAGGTTAGACGATTAGACGATATACTGCCTAGGTGATTAGGGTGTAAGGCGAGGCGAAAAAGTCAAATTAAAGACGGGAAGATGGAAAGACGGTTCGTATCTAGATATCTATAGAGTGCATATCATTAAAGTATCTTGGCAATATAATGACAATACAACATGTGCCTATGAGACCAGCACTCGAGGTATGAGCGAAGCTCCGCCCCAGAGCCCCAGAGCCCAACAGAGCAGCATATATTATCAGAATAACTGCGCAGCTAAGACTGCCGAGGTAGAGTAGAAGTGTCAGAACCCTGACCCAACTAAAGCGCAAATTGCCGCTCAGGAATACATGCAGGAACTCCAAGGCCGCGAAAACATGAAAGTCAGTTGGCTGGGCTATGATATCTCTATCGGGGGCAAGTGGGCATGCGAATAGAATAATAATAGCAAACCCACGATTATGATATTTCGAGAAGAGTCGTCAACACAAAGCAGGCAAGTAGAGTTGCCAGCTATTGAGCCAAAGGCTTGACAGGATAAGGGAATATGGTAAGCTTCAGGCAGTAAGTATTATTTGTAATTGATAATTATTAGGTATGCCGTTTGACCCAATAAGACAATTTCGACTTGGAGACGGAGGTTGCAAACAACCCTCCATATAAGGGGCAGTTAACGATTCCAAACTCATAATTAGCTCGGATGCTTATACCCCTACGGCCCTCGTCAAAATCGCTTTTTTAAAATGTGTTTAACGCCCGGATAGCCTAGGTAAACAATCGGCGCTGTCGTATTACCAACTCCCCCTTTCGAGGTAGACATCGATAACAACGACGACACCACCCCATTAATCCAGCCACCCATCCACGGTCCTCAACACCCAACACCCAACAAAAAACAAACCACACCTAGGAGGTACCTTAGGTTAGGCACTCTAATCCTTCCTCTTCCTCCCCTCGCTGCCCCCCACCCGTCTAAACTTCCTCTTATCCTTCCTGCTCATCCGCGCCCTATCCCTCGTCCCCTTGCCCCCCTCCCAGAACCCCTTCCCCTTCTTCCCGATGACGCTGCGCCCGCAGAACCCGCACGCCTCCGGCGCGTAGTTCTGCTCGCGGCTGCACCACCCGCAGATCATCCTGTGGGCCCACTCCTGCGCGTGCCCCTCCTCCTCCTCGTCGTGGCACTTGTCGCACGCGTACACCTTCCCGCAGCACGAGAACCGGAACCAGCGGTACGAGCGCCGGTAGTGCGCGCACGCGCCGTTGCGCGGGAGCGCGTCCCCCGCGTGCAGCCCGAGCTTCTCCTCCGCGCGCTTGCGCGGCCCCGAGGGCGGCGGCGGCAGGGCGCCCTGGCTTATCGCGAGGAACTTGACTTCCGGGATCTTGAAGGTGAACTTCGCGTGGCACTCCCGGCACACGTTGGTGACGGCGTCGCCGCGCACGGTCACGAGCCCCTGGCTGGGCGTCGAGCAGCGCGAGCAGGTAGGCACGAACGTGCTGGTTGGGAAGCGTTAGCAAGTGAAATGAGAAGAGGTAAGTAAATACGGGAGAAAAGGGGGGATGATCGTAAACACGACGTACCTGGGAAGCATGTCGGCGACGGTGCAGCAGGCGACATCAATAAACCCGGCCCTCGTCGAGTTCTGATGCACCGTCTCCTGGCGGAACTTGGCCGTAAATGCCGTGGCGCACTTCCTACAGCTGCCCGTCTTTTCGACTTCCGGCTTTAGCCCCGTCGCGTCGTTGAGCGTTTTGCACCGTTCGCACTTGACGCTGAGGTTCAATATCGATACCTGCAGCAGCTCGATGCCGTGCAGTTCGATCGACGGGAACGACATCGCCGTGCCCCTTTCCACCTGCTGTGTGATGCTACCCGAGCCGCCTTCGGCCCGTGTGTTGATTTCCGCGCCCCCTTCGTCGGAATCGTCCTCCGAGTCCCAGGAATCGTCGTCGTCAGAGTTATCCGAGTCGCCGGATTCGTGGCCGAAGCTCCATTCGGGAGGGCGGGGAATAACATGAATACGGCTTTTCCCGTCGTCACTGATATCCTTTGGAGCTCCTATCTGCCGAGCTGGCGCACTAACCACCTCGGTATTCCCTTTTGGAGCCGCCACCTCGGATTGAATCTTTGCTGCGCGGGCCTGTTTAGCCAAGACGTGAATATTTTGCGAGAGGTAGTTCAACTGGCTCGTCAAGTTCATCTGCTTTTGTTGCGCAGCCTTGGCCGCGAAGATTTCCTCCAAGGCCTCGACATCTTTTGACTCGACATTATTAAACAGGGCTCTCAACGGCTGCAGGGGGTAAAGCAAAGGGATAATCAACTGGACTGATTGAATTTGCTGCAGTTCCGGCGGCAGTTCGCTCCGTCGTCTTGGCTCCAAAGGTAACGTGTAAACAATTCCATCCGCGGATTTTTGGTAGTGAGGCGTCCGAGACATTCGAGATTCGAGCTGTCTGATCTCTTGCGCTCGCCTTGCTCTCGCCGCGGCAATTTGCTCTTCCGTAAAAGACTCCTCCGGTACATATGGTCTTCGAGGTGCTGTCGGAGCAGGCTTTGGTGGCGCCTTTACCGGTCGAGATGAAGTTGATGCAGTTTCGTCTAATGCAGCGGCTGAGTTATTCAGGTGTCTGGTATCCTTAAAGGATAACAGGGTAACTGTCTCAGTCTTCCGCTCCGAGAGGAACACTTCAAGGTTCTTATCCAAAGCATTGGTAAGAGCCAGCAGAGTTGAGCCTTTATTTTCCTGGACTAGCCTATTCCATCCCTTTTCTATGTTGACGGCGAACCCCCGGGGGATGTCTTTATTCTTAACTCGAAGAACAGGGGGGTTCTCTGGATATGAGGCAGGTACCTGAAGCTCGCACTCTAGATAATCCAACTCGAAAGGAAAGTCCGGATCAGATGGCTTGAGCCGGAATAGCAAATTTGTTGTTCCATCTTGCAGCGTATTTTGTGTGGGAGAGAAGCGCCTTTTCATCTGATTCAGCTGGTACTTCCGGGGATCCCGGGCCTGCGAGTCGGGAATCGGCTTTGGTACGATGTGATCAGCAGGGGGTCTATCTGCGGCTTGGCGGCCGTCGATAGCGCCTTCAGGGATATTTCCAGTTGAAATCATGATGCTAAGAGCAACAAAGCTACCTCCTAACCTAATAAATAGGCTTCAATGGAAAGAATATTATCAATTACTTGAGAAATTTCAACTGAATATGGAAATAGAAATAAATACCAATAATGAGAGATCAACCTTACGCTCTGAGGACCCGAAAGCCAAGTATATATGAGACATCAATGTATTTTGATTTTTATCTACTTGGGGCGATGACTCAACCCAAAATTATGAGTTAGAATGATGCCAGAAGAAGTCAGAGTTTGAGTGGCCTTCAAACAGAAGACATTCCATAATTGCATAGCCCCGTTGCCACCTTATCACAGGTCCCCTGATAATTACATGACCACATTCTTCGTACCATAACTGAATAAAATTCCAATTTTCACTCCTTTTTTCTTTCCGACCATAACTCAAATCTTCATCTTCCTAACTGCTGTGCTATCCTCCATATCGAATCAAACGAATATTCGCAATGAAGCCCCGGGGACCATACGTTGCAGAGATTTACTATTGATTACCGCGCTCTTGATTGAAGGACCAAGTGAAGCGTTAGAAGCGATAGCATTCGTCGGCAATGGGAACTGTGGTGTTGTAAAGCGTCCTCTCCCATGAACCCACAACGTATGCATTAACAGAGAAATTGAGAGCTGAGCGTAGTTCGAAGCCGTTGGTGCAAGTAACGTTTCGTGGCCAAATCATGCGGTTGGCCTTTCTGACACGCGTCTGGCTCTGTGCCACGTTCAATTCGTTCACGAACTGAGGCCGCGCAGTGATACCACCTGTGGTATTGTACAGGCCGTTCATGACATCAAGAGCTAACTCAATCGTGAAATCGATAAAAGGTGATGCGTGTCCTGTAGCTGCTTCCGCAGTCTCGACGGCAGAAGCGAGGCGCGGTGACCATCCGATAGCGTACGAGTTATCAGTGTTCACAAAGTCAATATGTGCATGGCCATCGTTGATTTCCGTCGTGATGTTGCTATTGTGGTATATGGCTCCTGCAGCCCCAACATCAGCGCCTACGGCCCAGTGGAGTCTTGGCTTAAGATTAAAGACCTCAGGCACATTGATAGTACTAGGGAAAAACTCGCCAGGGGAGAACAGATAGTTGTTGTTATTAAGAGGTGCGGTGAGGTTGAAAATGATCGATAAATCACCAATGAAGGCCGCGTCTATGTCGAACCAGAGACTTTCAAGGTGTGCGCTCGGAACATCGTAGCTAAAGAAGCCGCGGATTATAGCAGCATCGCTCAGGTATCCATCTTGGGCTGTAGCAGTAAAGGATGGTGCCTCCGAGAAAATTTCCATGTCCGGGGGAAGTGAGAAATTAGAAGCAACATTGATACCAGGTTCAGCAAAGGTGATGTTTCCGCTACTGTTCTGCATTGATCCTCGGACGTGGGAAAAGGTGACGTGCAGGGACTCTTGAATTGGTGTTAGCTCGCGATATTGCATTATATATTGTATCTTACTTACCAGTAACGCTTGCGAAATTCTTCTTGGTTGTCCGTGCTATCACTGTGTTGATTCCATCGTCCCAGATAAGAAACGTGACTTCATGAAGTCCTCTTTCGCCTTTGGCGTCACAACCCTCGACGCCATTCGTGACCAGGTAGAAGGTGTCGTAGAGAGGCCAGATGGCGTTGGCGTGACCGAAAGCAGATGTACCGTTGAAGGTAATGCTCAAACCCTCGGACGTACAAACAACTTGGCTTACTGATCCCATGGCCTCAAGTAACACGGCGGGTTGTTTGGTTAGTAGGTCAATATTGACGCTATTGAGGGGATCGATGAAATTGCCTAGAGTGTAGTAGAGGCTGATGTTTTTGAGTGGCATCATGTTGGAGTTCTTGTGCACATCGTAGCGAGGGGCGAGGGTCGGACGTAGGTCAGTGAAGTTATTCCACGCAGCAAGAGTGGTGGTAGCCAAGAAGGCAAAGCACGTCAAGTAGGATGTGAAGCAGCGCATGGTTGCAGTGGTATTTCGTCAAGGTTATTAGAGAATGTGATAGTAGATGTGAAAGTGATTGACTTAGACTTAAGTGCAAAAGGTCACGAGAGGCTAGGTTTTGGATAAAAAAGAATAGCAGAAAGTCTCAAAGTGTACTATTAGCTCGAATGAGAAATTCGGGTCACCTATTTATCCTAAGCCTGGGAGACAAGATCAGAGAGTGAAAGTGTTGCAGAGGTTGCAGAGGTTGCGGATGGTGTGGGTGGTGTCTCGTTGTTCGGGTTCAAATATATGCCTTAAAAGTCAGCGGTCTGTCCAGGAGTATGGCCTTAGGACGTTCTTTCCTGAGCAAGTTTCTATACGACAGTGAAACAAACTAGGAATGGTTTTTTACTGGCTACATATGTAGATATGAACTATAGCCTGTTATTTAGCTGCAAAGCTTACCCGGATAGGGCAGTTACCCTTCTGGAGTTCTTGCCTGAAATCTTTCTGAGTGATGCATCTGGCAGTCGTGTCTTTTGAACCTCAAGAAGCCTTCCCATGAAAGCATATGCCTGACTTTCCGGAAGGCACACATGTAACTCTGTACATACCTTATGTACCTATGTAATATCCATCACGGCAGGTACCTTAGGTATCTCATACGTAACTTTTTCTTACCTAACGCAGTATAACTTCTTGTGGTGATAGGAACTCGCGTGGTCCCTTCTTGTATTACTACCTCTAGGTTAGGTTAGGTTAGGTAGGCACATACAATAATCTAAGCCTGAGATACGTGTAGGTAGAAGGTACCTAATGTAATTAGGTATATTTGGTTGAATACCAGGTACCTAAGGTATTGATAAAGAGACTCGGTCTGGTAGCATTAAGAGCTTCAACGCCTGCACCTCATACTATATGTCCACAGGATCATCCTACTACCGTCTAACCCCATGAAGGAAGTCGATGTATGGCTATCACTTACTAAAATACAATTCGCCACTATATACCTTTTATATGATACAAAGATAAAATGTACAGTCTTGAAGAAACCCATGACGAAATGACTACATACTTTACGACGTACCCTCCTAATCATAGGAACGTTTTCTGGTAGTTTTTATAGGGAGTAGTGTCGTACTAATGGCATATGCAATTCAGGGTGGAGGGAAGGGGTTGAAGTAAGATATGGTTCAGGTAACTAAGCTTGATTTGGAGGTGCGGCTGTGGGCTACCAGCATGCACGCAGGTGTAGATATTCAACTGAAAGCGTCGCTATGTAGCAGTGGATTTGTTTGGTATATTAGGTAGGTACGTATTGTTATATACTCTGTCCCATAACTTGTCTAATATATCTCTAAACATGTATATTGGATTGAACTCCCATAGTGAAGATACAGTATCTAGTTCTGTATTATCTGTCTGGTAGGTTGCTTTACCCACCGACCCCCGAGAGTAGAGATCTACATCTAACTGTCTCTCCCCGCTGGCTATTTAATCGGTAACAGCTACTTCCGATGCCTGGGCCGAACGGCTCTCGTGTTTCTTGACCTCCTGCCGAAGAGCAGTCTGAAACGCTTCACGTATTTCCATCTGCTCCGTCTCAGTGAGAGGAATTGCGCTGCCGCGCCGACGACGCCAGCTCGGCTGGGTCTCCTTTAGCGTTGCGTTGGGATCTTGGCCGGTGGGATCCTTGAATTCGTATGAACGGATTTCAGTGTTATCCCAACCGGTACCTATTGGCCGTCAGTGGTCATATGTTCTGTCAAACAGGAGTGAGAGAGCTGTTGTTCTGTCCGAAGGAAGCGTGCTGTTTGCATACCTCTCTCTAACTTCACTCCGTCAAAGTCTTCGGTAAGGAAGTGGAGAAACCCGCCATGGGTGACAAGGACAATTTGCGCATCTTCTCCGGCTTTGTTCGCCAAGTCCCTGAGCCATACCCTAGCCGCCCGCGCTCTTGCTTCAAGCTTGGCGGGGGTGGGATAATATTTGCTTTCGCTGGACTTATCATTCCAGCCGTCATGGAGCATATGGTAATCCACAAGATCGCCAAATTCTTCCTTGAGCTTGCTAGGATCTGAGCCAGTATCGCATGGTAGCGTCGAGATTTCTTGGGCATCGGGAAGAGCAATTACTTTCTTCCCGGATTTCACCTCTGGCGCAAATGAGCGCAGACAGGTAAGTATTGTCCGTCGGATAGGAGAAGCGACGAGATGCGTGAGTTTGCCATGAACATCGAATCTTCTGCAGAGCTCATCGCACTGAGCTTCGCCTAGAGGAGTTAAGTCTGGGTCACGTATCTGCTGATTCGCCTCATTTAGGTTATGATAACCTTGAGCGTGGCGGACGAGATGAATAATTGGAGCCATTGCTGCAGCAGTATTTTGAACGATGTAATTTTAGAGATTTAAAAAAAGGGAGAGTTTAATACGAGAAGTTCTAGTCTTTCTATTCTCTAGGTACCTAGATTACCTAGGTTAGGTATGTATTCATCCCAAGTTCGGGCAAGTTTTCTTTGATAGATGTTGTTTGTCTCGGACCTTATTTGGGACCACTGGTGACTATTCGAGACCCGATCACGCTGATAATAGAACCACGAGCCATTTTGCAAGCTCTGATTGGATTGAGTTATGGGTTGTTAGGTAAGTTTGGGTAAGTTTCTTCTTGGTAGTCTTTTAGGTGGTGGACCTCCCAAGACATTTAATCGACTGACTCGTCTCAAATTCGCAATTCGAAATGGTATTGCGATTTCGTCTGATTTGAGCTATGACGTAACATAAAAAAAAGGGGGTTTCTTTTTGTCGTATAATCGGTTAGTACTTCGTACCTTCTCTTGAATGCTGCAACTATCCGAAGATCAGTAACCCAACAACCTGGTTCTGCATTGCAACATTTTAAAACGTTGAGCATGTTATTTATTGAGGTGTTTTCGTGCATGTAAGGTCATATGGGAATATTACTCAGGTAATTACCGGTACGGAGGATATAATTAACAACTTTGAGATTTGGTTAGCCTGTAAATGATGGAAGATAATTACGAGGTACAAGTTAAAAAGGCATCCGGGATCTCGTGCTACAACTTATCTCGCTAGATCGGCGCTATTGTCGGATTTAGACAAGAGCTCTCCAATAAGCTCGCTTGCCGCTGAGTTTAACAGACGGGTAAGATTCCTAGGTAAAGGTAATAAAATAAATTTAATTTGTACGAGGCATGCAAGCCATCGTACCTGCCATCCTAACTACCCCAGACTAGAATGACTAAGACTAAAAGTTGCTGTAATATGTAAGAACGATGGGGACGTGCCTGACACACACATGTGTGAGACACGGAGATATAATGATACCTCTATTAGGTAGGTACATTAGGTACCTCATATAATAATCATACACTACATGTACCTCATGACGATGTCTATTTCCCCGTCGTAAATGATTAAACTATGAATAACTTCCTCTCTAACGAGGTAATAAAATGTAAAATGAAAAGATGATGTGACCATATCGAAATTAGATACCTATGATTAGACATGATGCTACCTAACTTGGTATACACTACTAGGTAGTACCTAATATGGTACCTACCATATATAGATCAGATGCATGCATAAGTTGAAATAACTGTCCACGGGTACATATCTGCTACTTCATTTTAGGTAGTACCTATAGATATTGACGCACCTAGTGTACCTACACGTACCTCAGCAGCTAAGGTAGTAGTAACCCGGGTTTGGACCTGCTAGAGACAATTAACAATTAGCAAACCCCTGAAGTGTAATTGTCTAGAAGCTCCTTGGCTTGGTACTGTCCGTTGGTTAAGGCTTGTGCGCCTTATTGGTGGCCCGGCGCTAAAAGGGCTAGAGGGCTAAAAAATCCAACGTACGTACATGGCCTGCGCGAAGCTTGCATTTGCATGGGCGGTTGTCAAGGGTTGTCAAGGGTGCAGCAAAAAAAAGGGTGTTTTCACCACTTATCGATTCTCCAGTTTTAATCTCGACAACTTCCCCCAAAACGCCTTTTTTATCTTTCCTTCTTCTTTTCGACAACATCTTTTGTTCACCACGTCACCTTTTAACATTCGACCCTTCCTTACCTTCAAGTCTTGTCTTCGAGACGCGCCGTTCATTCTACACCACCACGCTTCAATCTCTCATTCAAGTCCGTCACTCTCAATACCGCAATCATGCCTGGTGTTCGTAAGTCTACCCATCTACCATCTACCATTTACCATCTACCTTCTCGGTGCACTTCTGTTGCGAACGGTTCTATCCTTGGACTTTCGCTGCCTGATGTGATTAGCCTATCTTACCGCACAGATTTCCTCTTATCGAATCGTAATCATGCTAACGTGCCATAACCACTTTAGCTAAGGATGCTCTCGACAACTTGAAGGCCAAGTTCAAGAAGATCTTCAGCAGGAGCAAGAAGTCCAAGGGCGATAAGGCTGCCGACAAGGCTGCTGATGCGTCCAAGACTGACGCTGCCCCTCCTGCCAGTAAGCTCTATCCCAGTCTCCTAATGATTTCTTCTCAGTCATACGACAAGGTACTAACTTATCATAGCTGCCGACGCCGCGAAGGCAGATCAGCCCGCTGAGGCGCCTGCTGCTCCTGCGGGTAAGTCCAACTCCAACCCCTCCTTTGTTTCATGTTCAACGTGCGCACCAATGAATCCTCTCGCGGGGGTTCCGTAGCGTTACACGCATCATGCTGGAATCGGAATTTGCGCGTGACACTCTGCTAACCATATTTCTTCCGAACAGAGGCTGCCGCTACTGAGGCCCCCAAGGTCGAAGCTCCCGCCGAGGTTGCTGCTGCTGCTCCTGCAGCTGAAGCTCCCGCTGCTGAGCCCAAGGAGGAGGCCAAGCCCGCCCCCGCTGCCTAAGTGTGGACGTCATCCGCCGATTTGTCTCCGATCGAATCAAACTCAGACAGTATACGCTGAACTAATATGATCGTTGGACAAGTAAAAGGAGGAATTAAAAATGGACGGGGCTGCTTTCTATCGCAGATTACCGACAATGGTTTTGTTTTTCACGGCTTGGTAGTTGTGAACGGACGGAGGATATTCCCACAGAGTTTGCAGTTTGAGAGATACCCTAATTAATAACTACTGGTTTGGCAGAACAATGGCATTATCCTTCGGTCTAAAGTTCTTTTTTATAGTACCTAGCTAGGAGTCTATCAGCACGTGATTCACTCTAACGTCTAGTGCTAGTTTCACCTATTATATTTGTCTTAGTAGAATTCCAGTCTCTCATGTGACGAAATATGTACCAAAATACATATTCTCTCCCTTGCCTCGTGCCTAATTGGAACTATCCTTTTGCGAACTGTACTTCGTATTAAGTCTAACAAATATGATCAATCATTAAGTCCGGAAGTCAGATAATGAAATGTTTGTTTTATGCTAGTTTAATTGTGTCGTTCAGGAGCTGTCCATTGGACATTGAACTTAAGGGGGTAATACCTTGTTGTGGTCTTCTACAGTCATCCATCAATGGTTGAGGCAAGGTTGGATCGACCAAGATGGTAAGGTTCGAGAAGGGAAATGGGATTACGAAGTCTGTTTTCATTGCGGGCTCTCATTAACTACCTCACACTTGAACTCTAGGTATTCACGGTTTCCTAACTCAACTGTAATTTCATGTACGACTTCTCCACAGCTTGAGATACAAAAGGGGTCTTTGGATATCCTAGTTGAGTTCGCAATATCGCTTCTAGTATTGGACGTAACTTCGTACGGGGTACGGCTGGAGCTCGTGGCCATGTTGTAATTAGAATTATGGGGCTCAAAAGCTATCGAGACCCTTGCGTTGACTCTGTGAGCTATTATGAAGCCAGGCAGAATGCCGTCAAAATAAGTGTCTAACACTAATATTCATTCCACCAACCTTTCTCAGCAAATATAAACACCAATTAAAATTAAGAAAAAACTAGTTTGATATAGAGCAAGATTTTAGAATTATTCTAGTAGTCATTTTGATAGTATAAGAGTCGATTCGGTAAAGCTATACAGAGAGAAAAATGGCCTGCTTGGTAGTGGAATAGGCACTTTTTTGACGCCATTCTGCCAGGGTAAGAGAACATTCTATGGAAGTAATCTCGAACTTCTAGAAAACGAAGTTTGTAGAAGTAACTTGTATATTTACCCACTTGGCCTGTCGCTAGATTTGGTCCAAGGGGCTTGGGTCATAGGTGATTGGGTACCGGGGGTGCTGGTCCGTGGTTGAGGTGGTCTAGGGACAGGATGTCCCGAGCCCCACGGTGCTCGGGAGTATGGAACACCAGGCCCAGAAGGTTGAGGCATGTTTGTTTGTGCCCACGGTGCAGCCGTACCGGAGCCAACTCCTGCAATTGGCGGCGGCGGCATGGACGTTGCAGAAGGGGGTTGATTTGCCATATGAACACTCTGCTGTGGAGCCGCGGCATTAGGATCTTGTTCCCAAGAAAATAGTGAGCCAAAAGGGAAATGCTGCACTACTGGGAACTTGGAAAGAACTTCGGCGTTGAACATCTTGATCATTCCCTGTCGCAGAGTCAGTCGAGGAATCAGGGGAATCATCAGGTCTATGTCTATATCATCATACCTTGTTAATTTTCCCCCAACCGTCCTTGATGCCGGATATATCAAATAATATGGGACTATGCTCCCAAAAAGGACCCTTCTTCACATCGTTAATAAACCCTATTGCCGAGAAATACATGTTCTTCTTCCTCTCTTGCTCAACGTATTCGGCCTTGACTACTTGTGCGGGTTTTGGTGCGCGAAATAGTGAGCCCTCAATAGGCATGGGCTCCGAATCTGTGATCGCACGAGTTAACTGCGCTGACCCGTAGATATATGGTTGAAAGGAGTGATCGTCCAGACCCCAAACACCATGGGATCCGGCAGGCTCAAGCGTATATGTTAGAATTAAGCGCCGCACCACGCGAAGGTAGGGTTCAAATATACCGAGCACGATACTGCGCTCTATATCACCGCCGGGCTTGCCATCTTTGAATGTTCCAAGTTTCCACAAACCTCCGAGAAAAGCCAGAAAGCTTAATTCATGGCCTGTCCCATAGTCGAGTCGCTGCGGACTTCCAAACCCACCAAGTAGGTAGGCCATCAGCTCGTCTTTGGCGGTTGCATCAGACTCGCCCCCGGAACCAAAATTCAACACAGAATTTGGCAAGAAGTCTTCGAGAAGTCCTGCTACTCTCTCTTCTAGTAAGCTGTACCACTTCCGGAAGCTAATATTCCCAAAGCGCCTAGGACCTTGATCAGGTGGCGATTCGTCGATATAGGACTCTATCCTAGCAAGTAACTCTTGCAGCTTCAGTACAGACTGCACTGGTTGGGTCTCATATTCTGAGCCGATGTGAAAAGCCATAATCTTCTCCTTTCCATCGTCGCATACGGATTTCCGAGGACACATGGCGCGGTTTAGTTGCATGACGAATATACCGATGTCTCGATATGCTTTTGAAGTCAAAAACTTGGCGACGTCAGGCCCATCGTTAATCTTCTTTGAAGGCTTAATAAAAGCGTATTTCTTTGAAGGATCCCATATCTCTAAGACGGGGAAGCTATTACCACTTTCTTGAGGTTGTTGCGAATCCTGAATAGTTGCCATGTCAACAGGAGCTCCCTAGGTAGATAAGATCTAACTGTGGCTGATCTTTATTTATTGTTGCTCCTTTTCGCTAGAAATTAAGAGATGGTGTAACTGTAAGTAAGCAGGATAATACCTATGAAGTGAAAATGAGTACGTCAAGTTACCGGTATTCAAGCTTATCGCTTTGCATTAGGTTAGGTACCAGGTAATAGGTATAGAGTTGATAGGTGTAGCACATGGCATTTCTTAGCTGCGTCACAGCTGTCCAACTAAATCAGATGCCCCGCCCCCCACTTGTGCTTGCTGCTGTAAGATTATGTAACTGAGTACCTCTATGTATCTAGGTACCTAACCTAAGGTACGGTACCTTATCTAAGGCAGGTACCCAAAAAGTCACCTCACCTGCTCACTTCCCATGTCCTTGTCTTCTATTTTGCGAATCCCCACAACCCGCTTTCTTCATTGACCGGCAGGTAAGCCGTGTGGCTTGTTTTCTAGAAGTTGCGACTGGGATAATCACGCGTCGAAATTACAGTACGCGTACGGATCCGTACTTCTCGCAACAATCTTGGGTAATTAACTAAATTTACTGATGCTTATCTCTGGCGAAACGTTATTCAAAGCCTACCTAATTGTTGGATATATGGAACCTATTAGTCCATACTCTTCCCTCCCCGAATAAAACAACAACAAAAACAAGACACTAAACTTACTAATTCTTCGTCAAATTTGCTATATTCAAGACCGGAAATATGGTGGAGACGCGGAGTGGAGTTCGCATTCCAGCGAAAAGTCCTATCAAAGATGCAGAGCAAATACAGCAACACAGTCCTGGCCCTAGCCCAGAAAACATCGATAGCAACGAGGATGAAATCCCCCACGTCATATCACCTAGTCGCTCCATTGATCCAAACATAAGGTCGCTAGACCATCGTCGAAACTGGAACAAAAAGTCTGGGGATGACTTATCTCTACACTTCAGCCCGTCTAAAAGACGAAAAACAGAGCCCTTAGCTACTTCTAGAGATGCACATTTATATCCAACACCTGCATCGCCCTTGGTTCGACTACCAAGTAGAAAGGTAGTTTCTGGAAAACCAAGCAGAACCTCGAGCCCGGAAGATGCTGTGCCTCCGGGACTCGTAAGTAGGGTCAATGCCGCGTTCAAAAAGAAAGGACGTGGAGAGCACCAACGACATTCAGAGCCTGCAAATAGTCAATTAAATAATCTAATCACCGGTTCGCAAAAAAGTGAGGTTGTGCTGGAAAGTGCCATGATCAATACTGGGGTTCAATCTAATCATAACGAGAAAGAAGGCCTACAGAAACCTCTGGAAAATGATGATGATACAACTGGCACATCCGGACGTGGCAAGTCTTCGCCTATACCCGTTACTGACCATGAGAAGGAACATGAAGCGGATGCTGGCCCAAGTAACGATGGCATTGCTCAACACGGCTCAGGTGAAGCTCAGAGCCAGGCCGACATATGGGATGTACCCATGACACCATGTCAAAAACCATCAACCAGGCGGTCAGGAGTCTCTGCTTCGGAGGGGCTTCCTGTACGTGCAAGACGTATCGAAGTTCATATTCCACAACGTGGCTCAAAGCTCGCTCAACTTTCTCAGACGGGACGAGTTCATAATTCTGAGCATCCCGGTCCTGTGTTAGAAGGAGATGGAAATGGTTCACCAGAACTGGGACAGCCGGAGGTTGAAGTTAGTGCACGAGATGTACAGGGGGACGATAAAGCGGTTATTACTTTAGGACACATTAATGAACTTTCTTCAGATGACGAAGATCTCTCGGACTTTGACTTTTCCGAAGATGGTTTTGCTCAGGACTTAGCAAGGTTTCGAGCCCGATATCCCAAAGGCTACAAAGGTAGTGAAATAACCCAGAGACCTCAAGAAGATGATCTTACTGCTCATCTCGATCCTTCTGGCCTGAGAAAGGCGCTTCAACTTATGGGACATGATGCTTGGTCTGGCAAAGGGCGAAAGTGGCATGAGCGGCCATTTTACTTTGATTATATGCAGCCTGGTCCCGTCCGAACTCTGCTCAAGCTTCTGACGAGACTGGAGAGGTTACTTGTAGCGGCACCGAAAGCTCCTCGAATTGAAGAGCAGAATAAGTTTTTTTATGAGCATAACGATCTCCTTAGCTATTATTTCTCGAAGATAAATAGTATCATCCATCATATTCGGAAATTGAGCCGATCACAACGAAAGAAGGAGATTAAAAAGCACGACCAAATGGCCAAGGACATCGCCTCGCTCGCCATTCCTATGCTATTTCATGTTCTGGCATCTGCATGGTGGCTAGGGGGTGATAAGTATGGGTTTCGCGCGTCATTCACAATTTCCACCATTGAATTACTTATGAGGATACTTGGTTGGATTGGTCCCTTATACCGCCCGTTGCTCAGAGCGCAAAGACAACAACCTGATGTTGAAGAAGAGGAAGAGGAAGATAAAGACACTGCACCCCAGAGAAAATACAGGCGCATAAAACAGCAGAAACGAGAAGAACTTGAAGGAATCTTGAATGAGTTGAAGGAGGTTGTCGAGGCCGGCCCGGATATGCTTGAGAAGGAAGAAGACCGCCGGAACCAGGAGTACCACATTCGTCAGGAGCGATTGAAACGACAGGAAGAAATCAAAGCCAAGTTAAAACAAGATGAAGAATTGATGATGATGGCCATCCAAGAACAGAAGCGGAGGTCGCTGTTGTCTCTCAGGCATGTGTACATACCGCTGTCACAATCACGACTATCGACGTCTACACGACAATCATCGGCCCAAGAGCTGCCACAGATCCAACCGTCTCAAGATGCCAATGATTGGACTGTCGAAGAGAAGATATACCTCTTCAAGAAAATACAGGAGTCATACCCTAATCTGCTAGACCTGGATGACGTTCGATGGTACCTTGATAGAACCCTGGCTGATACCGAGGCAATGGCGGAAGAACTCTTAAACCAGATGCTAGAAACTGTGCGTCCGGAACAAGCTGCAGCGGACAGAAATGCGCATGTTCAAGAAATCATGCAAAATTACAGGCGTACATGGGGTCATTGAGTTGAGTTGGTTTGGGGATGAAAAGTGAGTTAGGTATAGGTTGGGTACCTCTATACCCGTGAGCAATGCGCTTTAGCCCTTAGGTTTCGAAATATCAAGTTTCACAATTCAAAGTTACAATACCCCGAGTCTTCAGATTTGCGTCCTGTTAATGCGACCGAGTCGGATAATGGCTTATTGTCAAACCTCTCCGGTCTAGTTATCCTGCGTATGAGAGAAGTGATTTGATTTGATTGGACCTAAAGCTTCTAGGCTTTTAGAGGTCAAAGAGTTGGCCCAGCTATTTATGTCAAATGAGAGGCTAGTATTACCCAGTTATTATATATTGCGCATATGCGGTCTGCATGTGTTCGGGTTATCGACGGGGGCGCGGCCGGCATTAGTTGGTCAATTCCCGGCCTCAATCCGCAAGCTTGGCACAAGTGGTGCCTGCAGACAGAGCCAGTTATAGAACCAGTTGAGGCCCAGCGGTTAGATTAGCGGTCGTCCATTAGAGAGAGCTGGAGGAGGTATTTTGCACTTTCTTCTCGTTGGTAATAGTCGGAAAGTGTATTTGTCTTTTTTCGCTAAAGCGAGCACAGCACATTACCTAAGGTATAAGGTATTGTACCTTAGGTACCAGTCTCTTAGGTAAGAGGTACCTGTATAGTATATGTACAGTTATGTATGTACATGCGGGTAATCGGTAGATCCACCGAAACGAGAACCTAAGACAAGCCACCTGGCAGCCTGGACAGACATGGAAGCCAATTCATATCACATGCTGCACATCTTAGGTCCCTTATCATTGGACTGCTTTGTCTTATCAATTACGTAGCCGAACCCGAGACGACGTTGCAAAAAAGCGACATCATGATGTTACGAAATAGAGAAAGATGAGGAGTGTGTTATATCACCATGTTTCGAGAGGTAAGGTGATGACGATGCGCCCGAGAAGAGTTTGCTCAGTTGTAATTTTCTTTGGTTGTAACAGGTAAATTAAAGCTCTGTTTAGTCCTTCGATAGGGGAGGTATTTAAATGCCGGCTAAGAGGTACCAGCCATTTGGTTTCATTATCGGTCGCTATTAGTGGAATTGGTAGGTGGGGCTAGCCGGCACGAAGCACGGACCATTTATCACCTGGGCAGCTGCAAGTCTGCAAGTGCTCTTATTGCTCAATTACTATCTAGGTGTTAACCCCTGTAAAGCCCCTGTTTAGACCCCTGTGATTATCTAGTCGTTTACCTGACAGGCTCTAAGCCAGTGAGGAAGTCGGTCGTCTTTTGGCGGTCTTGGTCGTTGGAGCAGAATCTTGGAGAAGCCATTCTCTTTTCTACCTTTTCCCACTCCCCATTCGACACTTTCGTATCTTTCTGAAAAAAAGGGCGTCGCGAAGAAGCGAGAAGAAAAAAAAAGCCATTCACGTCGCGAAAGAAGAATACGCGTTCTTTTATTTTTTTTTCTTTCTTGGTCATTATTCTTTTTTACTCTTGACTTCTTAATTCTCTATTGCCAACCCTCTTAACACCAGTCAGAAGTACAATACTTGGTTGTATTATACCTCACTGGTTAATATCCCACGGGCGCTAATTCGATATCAAGTTCTTAAGAAGAGCAAGGGGAAAACAAAAATAGGAGTTCGTAAGACGACAGGTCAGTCAATACCCGTTTCAACCCACCATCAAACGCTCGAACCCCCCCTTTTTATGACGTGTCGACGTTGCGAATTATAGCTATTCGAAGTCTTAATTGATCTTTTCGATCGATGCGAATCTAAAGTTTTATACATCTCAATTGTCGCTCGCTCATATTTCACTTCTATAGCCACCGCTCATGTTTGGACACCTTCAATTATTAACGCTTCAGGCTCATAGAAAGTTGTATTAGTAGCGCTCTTGATTTTTACGACCTAGAAACGTTTGACACGCGACCGATTACGTGTATCCGATAATAAAGCTTTCTATTCTCGTAAACACCGAAATCATGTCTGACGCCGAAGGATTCGAGGTCGTCCAACACGACGAGTCGGCCCTCTCAGGCGAGGAGACTGCCGGCACCACTGGCACAGGCGCAACTGAGTCTCCCAAGTCTTCGGTTAAGTCTAGCAGTGAATCCAAACCCGAAGGCATGGCTGTGAAGCGACCAGCTGCTGGCGCGTCCGGTGTTCGTCGTCCAGGCACCGCAGCCAGCACCGCTTCGAAGACTTCAACTTCGACGGCCCGTGCAAGTGGCGGTCTGACAAAGCCCCCGACTCGCCCACCTGTCGGAACTACTGTCAAGAAGCCGTCAGTAAGCACTACTGCGACTCACAGACCCCAGCTTTCTGTCTCGGAGGATGAGAGGAAACGATCTACTATGACATCGGCGGCGGCGCGTCGAACCTCAACGGCGCCAAGCGTGACGTCCCCGGGAAAGTCAAGTGTTAGGTCGAGTATTTCCACTACAACCACCGCAAGGAAGCCCTCTACGGCTAGTAGCACTACAGCTCCAAGAACTGGCACTCTCGCGAAACCCGCGTCGTCTACAACTGGCACGGGGGGTTTGTCGACACGGACGTCTACGGCTACCAGACCTGGAACTACTGGTGCTGTGGCCGACGCAAGGAAGCGGCTATCCAGTGTCACAGGTTCTCCAGCTACTTCTGCTGGAGCCGCAAGACATGCAGCCCGCCCATCTCTTGCGTCGCCCATTTCTGCGACTGCAGCTAAGGATATTGACGACTTAAAGGCGAAGCTTGCCGAAAAGGAGTCGGAGGTAGAATCCTTAAAGGAACAGGTTACTTCTTCTGAGGCCAAGGTCGCCGAACTCGAGGAAAAGATCAAGGCCGAGGCAAACGGCGTCCAGGGCGCCAAAGATGACGTGCACCAAGGACATGAAGAACTCTTGGAAACCTTGAAGTCCACCCATGCCTCGGAGAAGGAAGCTCTGAGCACCCAGATCTCGGAAGCTGTCGAAAAGCTCAAGGCCGCTGAGGAGCAGCTCGAAGCCCACAGGACGAAGCTGGCCGAACTATCTAGCTCCCAGGAGGCCAAGGACACCGAAATCATCAGCCTGCAGAGTAAACTCGAATCCCTCCAGCTCGACAAGGATACTGGTGTCAAGGATAGCGAATCTGCTTTGGCCAAGGTGGCCGAAGAGCATGCTGCTGAATTGGAAAGTCTTCGCAAATCATTAGATGAACAACATCAAGCTGTTGTTGAAGCTCTGAAGACTTCGCATGCGACTGAGCTGGACCAGACCAAAACCTCATCTAGCGAGTACGAGAAGGCGCTGCAGGAACTGAAGGCTGCCAATGAAGCATTGCAGAAGAAGATTGATGAACTGACCTCTTCGACCGAAAGCGTCGGCGCCGAGAGTGCTTCTAAGATTTCTGCATTGGAGAGCGAGCTTGCAGAATTGAAGGCTGCTGCCGAGCAAGACAAAGCTGCCTTGGCTGCTTCGCAGGCGGAGCTACAGGAAGTTAAAGCGAAGCTTGAGGAATCCCTCGCTGCCGCAGAAGCTGCAAAGGAAGAGCTAAACAAGGTCAAAGAAGAGTTTGCCAGCTTACAGGAGGAGTTAGGTCAGGCAAAGGCGGCAGCGTCGTCCAATACTGATTTGGCTACTCAGATCAAGGAGGCCGAAGAGAGATACGAGAAGTTGAAGCAAGAGCACAAAGTCTCAGAAGAGACACATGAAGCCCAGCTGAAACAAGTATCCCAGGACTACGAGACAGAAATCGAGAGCCTCAAGGGCGATGCCTTCTTCAAGCGCAAGTTCCACGTCCTTGAAGAAGAACATAACGAATTGAAGGCTAAATTTGACGAGCTTAACGACACACATTCAACGGCGGTCCAGAAACACACGGAAGAGTTACAGGCTGCAAAGGCTGAGCGTGAGGCTGCTGTTGCGGCCCTTTCCGCCAAGGAAGAGGAGCACCAAAAGGCGCTTGACGCGTTGCAAGCCAGTCATGCAATGGCCTTAGAAGATGCTAAGAGCGGTGTATCGGCTGACAAGGAAGCGCAAATAGCCGAGTTAGAGTCACTGAAGGCTAGCCACGCGAAGGAAATCGAGATCTTGAAGACCGAGAGCGAAGCTGCTCTCGCAAGGGAATTAGAGGCTATTAAAGCCGCCCATCTCGAGACCCTCAATGCTCAGAAGCAAGATGCGGAAGCAGCGATTGCCGACTTGAAAGCTGCTCATGCCCAAGAGCTTTCTACCAAGGATGCCGATGGTAGCGCACAGATAGCGCAACTCGAAGCTTTGAAAACTGCTGTCGAGGAGGCGCACGCCGAGCTGGAGAAAGCCAAGGCCAGCCACGCACAAGCGCTTGCCGAGAAGGAGGCCGACAGCAGCACCCAGTTGGAAGCATTGAAGGCGGCTCTCGAAGCCGCGCATGCTGAGCTCGACAAAGCTAAAACTGCCCATGCTCAAGAGCTAGCTACCAAGGAGGCTGATGGAAGTGCCTACTTGACCCAATTAGAAGCTCTCAAGACAGCAGTTGAAGAGTCGCAGGCCGAACTGGAGAAAGCTAAGGCTAGCCATGCTGCTGCCCTCGAGGCTTTCAAGAAGGAAACCGAGGATGCTCACTCTGCCGAGATCGAAAAGTTGATAACAATGCAATCTGAGGCTGTGGAAGCTGCAAAGAACAACGCGTCAGGTTCGCACAAGGAGGCTGTCGAGGCTCTTGAAGCGAAGCACGCCCAGTTGATCGAGGAGTTGAAGCGGGAGCATGAAAGCAAGCTCTCTGCCGCCACGTCCGAGGCAACCAAGAATCTAGATGTCGCCAACGAACACGAGGCAGCATTAATTGCGGCAAAGGAAGCTTTGGCCAAGGCTCAAGAGCAATCTACAACCTTAGAAAACGAATTGATTGATGTCAAGACTAAGAACATTGAGCTGGTCAAGATTCAAGAAGAGTCGGAATATCTGCACCAACAACTTGCAGAGGCTAAGATGAACAATGTAGAACTTATGGCTGAGCTTGACGCCTTGAAGAACCAGAGGCCCGACACCTCTGCCGTAGACGCGCTGAAGGCAGAGATCGCAGAGCTTAAGAAATCTCACGCACAAGAATTAGCCGCCATTAAGGAGGTTTCTGCGAAGTCCGCAGGTGATTTCGATTCACTACATAAGGAGCATATCGCAACGAAGTCCGAGTTTGAATCCTTGAAGGAGCAGTTAGAGATAGCTAAGCAGGACGCCCTCATTGCGAAGAAGAATTTGGAGGCGCACAAGAACGATGCCGAGGCTAAGCTGAGGAACCAGGAAGCCGACTACAAGGATATGTACGAGAATCTGTCTACTATAGCGGAGGAAGAGCAGAAGAAGAGGGCGGCCATTGAGAAGGAAGCATCCGATATCAAGTCTAGATTTGCAGAGATGGAGGCTCAGCTGAAGGTCAAGGACGCAGAAATTGCCGAGGCACTGGTACGAAAGCCCAATTAAACTCGATTAGTAGTAATCTATAATATAATATGCTGACCTGAACACCAGGCTAAGGCGGCGGCGCAAACGCCAGTAAAGAAGGGTCTGTCAGCAAGTAGATTCGCGGGCGACAATGATGCTGACAAGAAACAAGATAACCAAGGTGCTAACGACTCGGAGGCTCCCGCAGGTGAGGAGCCTGACCATTCATCGACTGCGATGAGTGCGGTGCGCAGTACCCCCCATGCAAATTCTTGCTTGCCAACCGCAACATCTCCACTTGCATCTACATCTACATCTGCATCTACGTTCAATTACACTAATTTCTTTCAAGCCATCATGAAGAATCGTGGCTGACTCATGCTTTAATAACAGCTAGCACAAGTTAATTTATCCATCAAGGGCTTAAAGTCCATGAGTGATGAAATGGGGGACCGGAATCTACGGTATGTAGATGTTTAATGTCTAATTTCATGTCTTGAAAAATATTATTTATTACGATTTGTGAAGTTGTCGATTCTTTGGCCGGCAGGCTAATCAGAGATGGACACACAGCATGCTCAAGTCCATGACGGATATTCCTCAGAAGTCATAAGTGGGAACTGAACGATAAAGTCGGCTGTGACGAGAAGGAAATTCCTCCTTTTCGTCTACAGCACCTCGTTCATACCATGCTTTATGATAAAGACCCCTCGGCATGACCACTCAGCATGACTCGCCCTCCTCTTATGAGTTTATTTCGGTCACGACTTCTCAACACCAATCTTCTACGTTGGATACACCATCCAATCCAGACCTATCCTATCTTCTCGCTCAAGTCTTACGGCTAATGGGGCTACTACCTACTGAGCCCCTAACTAACGCTTATCGTTAATCGAGAATTTTCATTTCTACTTCTTACTATTCAGGAACTGAAACGCTTTGTAATGAAATATTTTTTTCTTAGGAGGAGAGAGAAACCCGATTGCAGATACCTTAAGGGGTGGAGGAGGAAGGCAAGGGCGCGACCTTTTTCTTTTTTTTTTTTTCTTTTTTTGTCTTGAGTCGTCGCGTCCGGGATGAGAAGGAACGCGAAATGAGCATAGCATGGATAGATGAGGTGGATGAGTGGATGGATGGGATGGATGGGAATGTGTATGAGAAGAAATAGGAAAGTTGTGCGAGAACACACACACCCAACTAGCTGCTAAGAGGTAATGCTGAAGGATGATACTTTTCTGACCTCCCTTCTACCCCTGCCCCCCTTTTTTTTTCTTTACTAATGAACATTGTTTTGCTTTGCCTCTCTTTCTCTCCCTCTCTCCCTGAGGACTACCTTATGTGGATATCTACTGTAATGGTCTCAGGCTGTCTATGTAGTTGAAATGGACGATACCCCCTTCTTTTTTCATTTAACCATACTATCTGTGATGGGCTTTGGCTTTCGTCTGCCGAGTTTTCATGCCTGACCTGATGTTCACGATCGGCTAGCCATCTTACCTAACGCACCAGGTTTAATGAGGTTTGTGAAAACCACTCTACGCATCAAAACAGCTCCGCATAAGTAGAACCATTCCAAATATCAAAATCGTACTGTACAACACAACTATCCTACGCATTAGAAGCATCGTATCAACTCCATGCTAGTCCCTGAATTTCAGCCTTTGATGAGGGATCTTCAAAGCCTATCGTGGCAACAAATAGGAAGCAGATCTATTACGCTTATCAGCGAACCTAGGTACCCAGGTACCTACTACCTTAGGTACTCCGAAAAGAATTATATGCAAAGCATTCATTATGTCCTTTTCAACTCGAGCCATTACTTTACCTAATGGTAGGTAACCCTCCCTACGATATGGCGTGTTTCTCCTTCGGTGGCTTTACCAAATCTCGCACTTCGAACATAGCATGGAAATTCTGCTGCTTGACGAACCACGCATTCACCAGCTTCCACTCTTGATTGGGGTCTTTGAATTGGATCTGGAGATGGGTTAGAACCGACCTTGTCCATCAATTTGATCAAAGAATATAAGGAGCAGAGACTTACGTCGAACCGCCGGAGCAAGCTCGGGACGACCTTGTAGATCTCCAGCAAGCTAATGTTCTTCCCAATACATGTACGAGCGCCCATGCCGAATTGGAACATCATGCCATTCATCTCACGTATGCGACGTTCCTGCTCTTCTTTCTTAGCACCTGTAAGTTTCTCATCTACTAGCCATCGTTCTGGTCGGAATGTGTCGACATCCTCGCCCCAGATCTCCGGGCGGCGATGTATGATCCACGCGGAGCAACCAACAATCGTCCCACCCTTGACATAATGACCTGCAATCTCAACACCAGGCTCAGGAACAATGCGCTCGAGCGGCAAGCCAGCTGCTGGATGTAACCGGAACGCCTCTTTAATGCAAGCATCGAGATACGGTAGCTTCTGGCTCTCAGTCCATGTCACGAGACCTGTTTCGTAATCGCTAAAGACACCCGACAAAGCTGCATCGTCGAGCTCCTTTCGTAGCTTCGAGAGCGCAGATGGGTTTCGTAGCAGATAGTAAAAGACGCTGGCTAGCGATATGGCGGTCGTTTCAGAGCCAGCGAATGCCATAGACACAGCCATGGTCTGTACCAAAGTATCGTTCATGAAATCTGGTCGGGCATCGTGTGCAGCGAAAAACTTGGAAAGCAGATCAGGCGACTTGGGTTCTGCTTTTCCTTCGGTAGAAACTGGAAGAAGAGGCTTGGAAGGGTCACCTGAAAGATTAGGTCCAAGACGCTCGGCCATACGAGCGCGGGCGAACCGCGCAACGGGGAAAGTAGCATCAATGAACCCCCATTGGGACAATTTCAGGTAGATGGGATTTTTAAGAAAAACGCGATCGAGCCACGGGATCTGGCCAATCTTATTAATGGTGTCAGTATTATTTCGTGGCATTTCAGCTCAAGTTTCAACTTACCGGCGCAACATAGAGGAATAAACTCCCCAAATAATCAACTATACCGTCGATATCCTCGTTTTTCTCAACAAACCCGTGGCGCTTACTATAAGTAATCTCGCCAATAACATCGAAGGCGTAGAACTGTAACCATCGTGTAAAATCGCATCCTTCCGGGTTACCTGCAAAGAGGCGCTCCGTTTGCTTGAGGAACAGCTTGGTCGTATTATCAACAAAAGGCTCGTACTGTACCAACGCAGACATAGCAAAGGCTGAATTGACGCATCGTCTAAATTGGGCGTGGAAGCTGTTATCCGTCGTGCTAAATAGCGAGGCGAGGGAATTCCCCTTGACTACTGATTGCTGGACGACATAAAAATCGGACTAATAGAGTATCAAGATCAATGTCCCCGTCCCCTATAGGAAGTCGTATAAGCAGTTCGTACCTTGACAAATCCCTTATTGAGGCCATATATTGTCTTGAGGGCCTTCGGGTCCGCAATGGACAGAGAATTAGGTCCTAGACGTACCACATCGCCATACTTTGCGTGTAACTTTCGATGTGTTATGTCAGGTCGTTGTCCATAAACATCCCAAAATCGCCACAGATCTGTCAGCGAAGCCAGAAAGGGGCCGGGGTACTTGTTCAAGCCATTGTGGTACCGATTCCTAACCAGCCGTATGAGAACTGCTGATACAATTAGAGGTAGCCAAAAGTGAGCTATGAAGCTCCCAATCATGGAATTCTCTAGTCCCAACATTGCCCCGCTGGTTCATCTGCTCTTATAAGATAAGCTGAGTCGAAACGGAATGGTTAATAACAGACTTCCACTCCCTGATATGGTGGGAGATCTGTAGGAGCCTATAGGTTGTTGAAACCTTCAGACAGCCCTTTCAATAGATAGAGAAGGATTTCGACCTGGAAATACAGCCAAAACAAGAGACTCTGGGTACTCCTATACCTCTGAAAACACGAGAAGTAGAAACGCCGAAGCCGAATATTAGGGACTGCTGACAACGTGTGCCAAGGTGGGTATATATGCAATCCTATTTGTCGGTTATGACACGGGCATGTCGGCGTTATCCAACGATGATTCGATGAAGGATAAATGCTCTTAATACCTACGGCGAGCCTGCTCAATTAATGATGGAAAGAGAGGGCTCAAGGGTTAGAAGTACACTCGTACTTAATATTTAGGTTAGGAGGTAGATATACCTAATGATATATGAACTATCACACTTGTAACGGCAGTACGAGGCTTTGCGATTGTTTGAACCAGCTCCTCGGCGCCTCTCGGCCCCTGTGAGATTGTCCCCATGCCCGCTTGAGGTTCCGCTCACAGCTAGGTAGCCAGGCTACTAGAGATCCAAGATTCTGGGGACCCCGCTGACCCACCTAGAAGGAAAAGGGGGCCTGTCGACAAGGCCGGCGGACGAGGTGGGCGGGGGAGACAAGCGCCTGGTCTAGCGTTGAATTGGGGAAACCGACAGGAGAAACCCATGATCGCCAAGTGAGTACCTAGGTAGACACGTGAATAGGTCGAGCCTGCGCTTGGGGCTGTATTAGACGTGATTTCGGCAGATGGATAGTCCAATGGTTTCGTAGGTGAAGTCAAACAAGAGCACGATAGCACAAGCCGGAGAATATGTTATGTTTCGGGTCATATCCGCGATGATCAACCGACGAAGTTTGGGTTGACCAGGGCGACGTTGGTGACACGGTAACCGTCTCGGGAACTTTCTTGGAAACCCGAGGCGTATAAATTACCCTCTTAATACTGATATGGGAACTTAAGTCCGATTTCGTCACCCAATATCCATTTTCCATTTTCCGATATACGCTAAGTATCCGGTTGGGCAAATATAGTAGCAGGTATCATTGGAATGACGCCGAGAAGAGCGAGTAAGCGCGCGCACGGGGCAGGCAATGCGGCTCTCGTCTATGACGAACCAGATAAGACTTACATATTAGCCCAAAGAAGGCGACGACAGTAGTGTCAGATTTGAGTGTAAGCTTCTGCATATCCAATAAGTGGAAGTCAGCTTATTGAGATGATAGTAATATTTTGAGTGGGCTATATTGTTGCCATGATGTATTATGCTTAGGTTTGTCCTTGAGGTTATTTAGAATGCGATTTCTAATCATAGCCCGGTTGTGTCTGTGTCTGTGTCTCTGTCCGTGTCTGTGTCTCTGTGTCTTTTTCTGTAGATGTTAGGTATTGTCGCGCATGGTCGTCCGTAGTATACATGATGATAGGTACTTAACACGAGCTACAGCTGTAAGCTGAGCAGGATCTAGATTCCGAACCGCATTGTCAATCTAGCATCTCAGACCAGGCGTGTGGGATCTAGGCATTGTCCAATTGGTGATGTGTAGGTAACGGCGCTTGCCGGTTGGCGGAATAAAATGGATCATCGAAACTGCCGAGTTAGAATGACGAAGGGAAATTTTGTAGTAAGTTTCGAAATTTAACCAAATCGAGCCATCGACAGATTCGGTGAGGTGGGGACGATACGATACGGTAATAGCGACTCGGCAGATGTAAAGAGCTACCTGATCCATACAACCCGCACCGGCCACACGGAGCTTTCGCTTAGTACCTAACCTACATAATACATATCTCTCTACAAGGATACATGCATATTATTCATGTAACATCAACTTGGTTTCCATCCCCTTGGAATTTCCATCTCATTTTCCTCTTCCTCACCATTATTATAGCCTGATATCCCTCCCTTCACACCGGCTTAGACCTCTTTGCTTTTTGAATACAGCTGCAACGTTCACACTACAGCGACCCTTTAAGTGGCCGTTACATGGCATGCTACCCGCCGGATGCAGCTCATCAAGATTCCGGAAGTATTTTGCTAGGTCGCGCACAAGGCGACATACAAGATGTAGGCTTAACTCCGAATTTTATACCGTCCATTAGTCATAGCTAAGAGTTGCCTGCGGCATATTGAGCGGTTTTTCAGTAATTGATAATAGGCGCGATAGACGCCTGGCGGGAAACATTTATTGCCGGTGGCAACACACGCGTCTATTTTCCAGAGTCGGGACAATACCCGTAATATGACATAAATATAAAAATTACTTTTAATAAATGTATCCAGGATTTTTCAAATTACGCAGCATGCAGTGGTTGCTCTAGAACCAACTCTAAGGGGGGCTCGTGAACGAATTTGCGAGACTGGCCATTTTAACTACCTCACATGGAAAATACCCATGGTGTCAGGATTTGAAAGATTCTAAATTGGAAGTACTAGATGCCTCGTTATTCACTACATTCTCTGTGATATTGATTAAGGGATACCGGATACCTATCTCAAGAAAATGGTTGTCTTGAATCAACTTTATTTGACTACCTCCTACTTACCTGATACTTAGGTTAAGGACTATAGGATACTATAGTTTGACGAACCAATAGAATGGGTTATATACAAAAGTAATGATTTATGCAGTATGGTGGTATTAAATAGGGGAAGTAGATTTACGCTTAATATACAAGTTAACTTATGAGTAGAACTGGTTCACAACTCAGCATGGATTATCTATAACAAATAGTAATCCATAGCCTCCTGTAGCATTTTTAATATAAATAAGCTACCTACCTATCTGTCTATTATAATAACCAACTCATATGTTCAAGGATGATTTTCCAAGTATATTGACTGTCTGACATCCAGTCAAATGATGGGAATAATCTGGGATGATAGCGGCTCAAAAGTAAGAAGCCTCATCCATCAACTGCCTATTCTGCTTCGCAAACATAATACACGGAGATAGCTCATAGCATCCCCTCTTAATTAATTCAGGTTGCCATTCCCCTGACAAGCTATCATCTGTGGCGATATCAGCACCTATATGCGTACTATCCGCTTCCACGGTAATCAAGCACGCCCCGCTCGCATCGTAATAGGAGTCCTCTAGATTCTCACCAGTTTGAAATATCCTGTATTCTCGTATACCTTAGATAAAATCCTTTCCTATCGGGTGCCGTTGTAGTTCAGCGTAAACGTGAGGTCAGAGTCTCAAAGGCCAATCCCGGCATTACAACTACCGAACACACCCCGTAACTGTACCCCGTCGTCGCCGTTTATGTGCCTACCTCCTATTCTCATATAGGTACTTACCATCAGCTATCAGGTAAGGTCCCGAGACTGCCGGGAAAGTGCATCGTGCTGTGTAATATACGAGTTTTTGCTTGATTACTTCGTGCTACTACATAGTATACTCCGAACGTCAATTACGATACTAATTTAAGAGACGTTAACATCTAAACGCCGTCGCACCACCGAGTGACGTTCGGCAGTAATCCGACGTAACACCTGACGGAATTACCTAGACGTAGAAATCCATGTCCGCTTTCCCAATGACTCGGATGTAAACATGAAAGCCTGTTACCTAATGCAAGGGCCCGAGTGCTGCTCCGTTCACAACCTAATAAAAGGTAGGTAAGTATGTCGGAATCGGCCCCGGTTATGTATTATGCAGATGAACGGCAAGCTTCGGGGCGAGCGTTCACTAACTGACTGGTTAAAGGAGGTAGCCAAAGACTTTTATACAGAAGCAGACTATTATTATATAAAGTCCACAGCTGAAAACGAGGCTATGAATCGGCGCTATATGTTACGCTAAGACTAAAACAAAAGGCTAACCCTAGCCCTCGTTACTAACCAAGCTCTAAAACTGCAAAACACCGAGTCCATGACTCCATACAGCCTAAGCGCAGAACACAAGCTGCAACAGACCACAGACGAACATAGCAAAAAGATGAAAACATGAAAAAAAAAAAAACAAAAATAAATGATCCCTCGGACCGGAATCGAACCGGTGACTTTTCGGTAACAATCATCTTTACAATTACAGCCGAACGCCATAACCAACTAGACTACCAAGGGTTGTTAATAATCATGTCCTTTAGTTTGGTTTAAGAGCAAATGTGAAAAGGCTGCTGTCTGAGAAACGAAACGTACTATCCTGTAGTTGGATAGCAACAGGAGATGGATGTAGCTTTGCCAAAGCAGCACTATTCAGTATGCTGTCGATGAGCTCAGCGTCCTTGAGCAACTGTTTATCCCCTAATCTAGAGCCAACCAGCTGCAACGCCACCGGCGCGCCTTTGAACAACTCCGGGTCATCTGTAATACGTCAGCTAGGTCTGGTACTAACTCAACCCGTAATAAACGCCGTGGAAGATGTACTTACACATGTCCTGGTTCTTCTGATCGGCCTCATGCAAAGCCGTGAACTGTGCGTCCCCGGGGTCGAGAGCCGGGTCGGCGTGTGTGAAGGGGATGACGACAGCAGGATACTAGAGCGAAGCCGTGTCAGATCACCAATATCTATCACCACATAATTCGTAGCTCCCAAAGGACTTAACTTACATCAACCACATTCCACGCCACAGTATAAATATCGCTCGTCCAATCCCCCGGCAGCACCGCCGTATGCGGACCCGCGGGAGCAAGCACGACGTCGCAGCCCACCCTCTGCCACTCGTCCAGCATCTGCCTCTGGACCCCCAGCTTCTTCGCGTTCCACCGCCACCCCTCCTCCTGCGTCTTGCGGGGGAGGCCCAGGAACCCGATCTTCTCGACGCTGGACACCGCCGGCTCGCCCGACCGCGCGAATTCCCGCCGCGCGTACGAGAGCCCGTCCAGCGTGAACAGCTGCTCCGAGATCTCCCGGATGCCGCGGAAATCCGGCGGGTGGAAGTCCCGCGTCTCGAACCCGGCCGCCGCGAGCGAGGCCGCCGCTTCGCGCAGCGCTCGGCGGACCGGCGGATGCGGCGTGAGTCCCGACGCGTGGAGAACGCCGACGACGGGTTTCCGGGGCGCCGCGGCGCCAAGCTCCACGATGCCCGGTATGACAGCGGGATCGAAGGACCAGGGCTTCGCGTGCCTGACGACGCGGGTAAACAGCTCGAGGTCGCGCACGGAATGGCCCAAGGGGCCGGTCACGGGCGGGATCCCGGTGTTGGAGCCCGCCCAGCCGGAGAGCGAATACCCGATCATGGGGACGACGCCGAAGCTCGGCTTGTACGCGTAGACGCCGTTGCACGCGGCCGGTATCCGCACCGACCCGCCGACGTCGGTGCCGACGCCGAGCGCGCTGCAGCGGAAGGCCTGGCTCGCGCCTTCGCCGCCGCTGCTCCCGCCGCACGTGAGGCGGGAGTTCACGGGGTTCTTGGTGCGGCCGAAGACATTGTTATCGCTTTCCGCGACGAGCATGGTCTGCGGCACATTCGTCTTTGAGATAATGACCGCCCCGGCAGCCTGCAGGAGCTCCGGCAGCGGCGACGTGCGGTCGGCCGGCTGGAAGACCCGGGACATGTACCCGTTCGTCGAGTCGTACCCCTTGAAATGGAAGCATTCCTTGAACGTCATCGGAACCCCGTGCAGGGGCCCGACAACCTTCCCCGTGCTCTTGAAGATGCTGTCTAGCTCTTTGGCTCTTTCTATTGCGTCCGCAAACATGATCTCCGTTAGCATGTTGCACAGCTGATGTCCTATGGCGGCACGTTTGCAAAATGCCGTCACGACTTCTACGGCTGTGAACTTGCCCGAGGCGATGGCGGCTGCGAGAGACGTGGCATCGTAATTCTCGCTGGTAATTGCTAGCTCGGCCGGAGTCAATATATCGTACGAATTGACGAATGGACGAAGGTCGACCGTATCTTCTGGCGGAATGTCTTCCGGTTTCAATTTCCATTCCGTCGGTATTCTCGAGTCCCGCTCAGCCCATTTCGCCGCCTGCAATTCCTGCCAGGACTTCCCGGCTATTGGTCCTTCGTTACTGCCCATCTTCAAATTTCTCTCTTATCCAATACTGAGCATTTTTCTTAACGGAGAGCATTCAAGCGGAAGGATGCTTGCTCATGATATTGATGGCCCCTCTCATGAAGAGGTTTCGTGCAAGCCTTAAGAACGCCATGCCGCGATATAGCTCCGAAGAGTGGGGGGATTCACGTCTAGGTATAAACTTAACTGCATTAGATCGGAGTAGTTGGAGATAAGGGGAGCTATACTAGGGACTCCTCACGTGTAATCTGATATACCTAGTCCTATCCCCTTGTTACATGCAACGCAAGATAATCATATCTCTTGGCGTCGGGGATGGCCTATCTGGTAATCAGTCTTGTCGTACTCATCTGTCGCTTTAACCTGCGAATTGAGAGCGTACTTCGTACCTGGGTAGATAATTGCAGGCAGCCAAGCCAAGTACGGAATACCATATTGGACATAGTCTGGTTTTGGCATTCCTATCTTGATAAACAATCTAGATGAAAAGTCGTGGTTGTAAGAGCGCGGTGTAAGTTATACCTACCCCAATGAATATACGGCAAGAATCTTATCAGCATCCAAGGTACTGCGAGTCGGGGTAAACATCACAACTATCTCAGCCAAGCATGGCTAGTATAGAGCGAAGAAGTATTTAACGTGCCCCTTTCTATACTTTGATTTCAATAATTGTCTTTTATTTCTAAACGTCCATCCTTACCTTAGGTGCCTCCTATGCTAGGTTAGGTAGGTACGCAGACAATTGAAAATAATGTCGGAGAAGAAAGACATCCCGGGCGTCGAGAGCGTGGCATCTGATACAGAACGTGGAGTTGGCCTCGTATTGCCGAAGAAGAGTAAACTACAAGACCTGATCCGTCGAAGAAATGACCTCAATGAGCTGGGTAGGGACATGCTGCAACAGTCGTTGCAATATGACCGCGCGCAACTGGAAGCAGATGCTATCAAAGTCAGGTGGAAGTTGGATCTTCTGGTCCTTCCGATGGTACGATGACAATACCGATCGATGTACCCTACCATATTTGCTTCTAACACAAATTCCGGGGTGAAGATGATGATCACGTACATGCTGTCATTTCTCGATAAGCAGACGTAAGTTTGGCACTAACACGATTTCAACGCTGCTTCCGCTAACGACCCGACCATAGCCTCAACTACTCGAACGCATATGGCTTACAAGAAGACACGAATATGACGGGTAACGACTACTCCTGGGTTGCATCAGCCGCATACTTTGGTTGGTTCTGTACGTGAATGCTCGCCTGAACGTAATAGATGAATGGGAGCTAACATCATGTATAAAGGTGGAGCGTGGCCGTGGAACTTATTGCTGCAACGCGTCGCCATCGGAAAACTAGTCGGCGGCATGCTGTTCGTCTGGGGAGCTGTCTGCATGCTGCAAGCCGCAGTCTTCAATTTTAGCGGCTTCTTTGCCGTCCGATTCTTCCTGGGCATGCTTGAGGGCTGCATCTCCCCTGCGTGGGTGATTCTTACTTCGATGCTATGGACTCGTCAAGAGCAGTCCTTGAGAAGCTCCATTTGGCTGTGTACGAATGGCGTATCGAACATTCTAGGAGCTCTCCTCGCCTACGCTTCAGGGATGGCTGAGGGCTTGGCGATAGCGCAGTGGAAGTTGATATTCTTAGTGAGAACTCCCACACGCCCTTCTTGCGGTACCTTAGGTACCTAGGCACTAATCAAAAAGAGCTTTAGATAGTCGGTGCTCTTACATTCGTTTGGGGCTTCGTAATCTTGCTTTACCTCCCCGACGGACCGCATAATGCAAAGATGTTGACGGAATACGAACGTACTGTTGCTGTCTGGCGCGTGTCCGACAACCAGATTGGCCTCAAAGACGCGACATTTCGACCTTATCAAGTCAAGGAGGCATTGTTAGATGGGAAATGCTACGTGATGTGGCTAATTGGCATAGGACTTGGGATTTGTAACGGCGCCGTAACGACCTTCATGTCAGCCATCATCAAGGGTTTCAATTTCGACGCCCTTAGGACCTCCCTACTACAGATGCCAGGAGGCGCTGTCCAAGTTATAGCTTGTATTCTGCTGGGATTGTTTTCACAGCTCCCGAACATGGTAGGCGGAGCTATCATCCTTGGCTGTCTACCTTGCATAGCCGGACTTGCGGGTATTTTAACCATCAATATCGAGCACCGGTACGCGCTTGTCGCTATGTGCTGGCTACTAAATTTCGTTGGATCCCCTATTGTCTTGAATTGGACAGTTCCCGGTCTCAACGTAGCCGGACATACGAAGAGGAGTACCGTGATCGGGATTTACTTCGTCTGTTTCGTCATTGGAAAGTAAGTTTTTTTAAAAAAGGGAAAAAAAAAAGAAAAATGAAGACTCGAAGGAAACGAGTCGCTAATGTCAACAAATGTAGTATTATCGGCCCTCATCTGTTCTTAGCGCAAGAGGTACCCAGGTACCCGACCGCAATTAAAGGTCTCCTTGCTACTTTCTGCGCCGTCACATTCCTCCAAGGAGTATACGTTCTGTGGTGCTGGCTCGAAAATAAGGGGCGGGACAGACTGGCTCGTCATGCTGAGGTAACGGAAGAGGAGTTACTAGAAGGGTTTGAGGACCTCACCGATAAAGAGAATAAGCATTTTCGATATAAGCTTTGAAGATATCACGAAGGTTATTACAAGTACTGTAGAGCCAGTTGGGAATAGACATGTCCCAAGCCAGGTAGTTATCTTGCCATGGAGGAAATATATTAAATATTGCCTAACTAGTTGTGAGTATAATGATTGTCTTCTAATGTCTAGAAGTCCTGAATTGAGGTAAAGAGCACGGTCTAAGTCGCACATCAGGGGAGCATGATACCTAAGTTATATTCTTTTAATAGTTACATGTTCAGTTCTGCTATGTTCGTCACAGCCCGTAGTGAGGCGGTGAGGATATATATACCTTCCTCCATCAGACCACTAACACATATCAAGTGATCATCGTTGATTCGTCAATTGCAAGGAGACCAGCTCCACCACGAACTCCGACGGCAACCTCTATCCTATATACGCTCAGTAGCTTCACTCATGTATCTAGAGTAGCACATTTACCAATGCTACATCAATTGTAAGGCCCTAGAGCTTTGAACATTGATGCCTGGGCTTTTATATAAGGCCGTACATTAAGTACCTAATGTAGTTAACAACATGTTGAAAATACAACTATCTAAATCGTCGAGGCCTGATAAACCCCTCTGCCGATGTTATCTCCGAGGCGTCTCGTAGCGTCGGATATCTACCCACCTACGTAACCCAGCGAGGCGCTATTATAGCTCGCCTCTCTATTATAAAAGTCCTATACCACACTTCACCCCTCCCCAAAAACACTTTTATACCTGATTTGACTTGAATACAAGCCTTCCTTTCCCAAGCGCCAAATACCTCTACTCAGGCCAGGCACCATGTCATCTCCACCACCTCCTCCGCGTAGGCCACCCGGCATCCTCCACCGCGTCGTCGAGGAAACCGGGCTCCTATCCTTGTCCTCCGCCCCCTTCGACGTCAAACTGCTGTGTCTGCAGCGCTTCGCGCGCATGTTCGCGTACGGGCTCTCCACGCTGGTCCTGGTCGCGTACCTGTCGGCCCTCGCGGTCCCCAAGACCGACATCGGCCTGTTCATGACGCTCACCCTCGCCGGCGACGTGTGCCTCAGCTTCGCGCTGACGCTGTTCGCCGACGCGCTGGGCCGCCGCGCGGTCCTCGCCCTCGGCGCCGCCCTCGTGACCGCGAGCGGCCTCGCGTTCGCGCTGTCCGGGCAGTTCTGGGTTCTGCTCGCCGCCGCGGTCGTGGGCGTTATAAGTCCGAGGTAAGGGCACTTGACTAGACTACCTTACCTGAATTCTTCCTCCCTCTTCCCCCCCTTTCCTCCCGTCCCAATATACCTACCTCTACATAACCTATAAGGTTAATCAATAGACTACCTACCTAACCTTAGGTAGGCAGGCAGACAGGTAGGTAGACACTAGGAGGTCACAAGTGCTAATACAATGCAAAATCCAGCGGCAACGAAATCGGGCCCTTCCGCGCCATCGAAGAGAGCATCGTAGCGCAGCTCACGGACGCCCGCAAGCGCAGCGACGTCTACGCGTGGTACAGCCTGGTGGGCCTCGCGGGCGCCGCGTGCGGCTGCATGGCGTGCGGCTGGGTCCTGCAGCACCTGACGGGGACGCTCGGGTGGGGGTCCGTCCGCGCGTACCGCGCGATCTACGTCGGGTACGCGCTTTTGGGCTTGGTGAAGCTGGGCCTGACGATGCTGCTGAGTCGTGCGGTAGAATCGGAGAACAAGGACAAGAACAAGAAGAAGAAGAGCACGGCTCAGGACCGCACCACTCGAGAGGGAGAGGCGAGGCCGTTGCTGGAGAATGAGGCGACGGAGCTAGTCAACGAGCCCCCGAAACGGGGGTTCCGAGCGCTGCTCCCGGACATAAGCAAGGAGAGCATGCCCGTCGTGATGACGCTGTGTTTCCTTTTCGCGCTGGACTCGTTTGGTTCTGGGCTCGCGCCGTTGTAAGTACCTCCTCGCCAGACCTAATCCCAACCTAACGCATTGCGCGCCGTAGTTACCTATTCTAGATGCTAAACGCCATCAGATCCTGGATTACATACTACTTCAAGTCGCAATTCGACATCGAAGAAGGGGAGCTAGGTTCGATATTCTTCGCCACGCAGATCATCGCAGGCGCTTCTATGCTAGTCGCCTCTTCACTAGCTAAACGGTTCGGCAACGTCAACGTATGTCCTCCCCCCCTTATTTTACCTACCTACTTGTGGTTCGATCACGCACTACATTCATTATATGTCCCTACCTAACCTAAGGTATCCTAACCTAGGTAACCTATCAACCATTGCTAACGCTCTTCCCAGACCATGATATTCACACACCTCCCCTCGCAAATCTTCCGCGCCCTGCTCGGCGTGCCCCGCTCCCCGCGCCTCGCGCTCATCTTCCTGGTCCTGAACGCGAGCACGCAGTCCATGGACACCGGGCCCCGCTCCGCCTTCCTCGCCGCCGCCGTCCTGCCCGCGGAGCGCACCGCGGTCATGGGCACCGTGAACGTGGTCCGGACCACGGCCCAGAGCCTCGGCCCGCTGCTCACGGGCATCCTGGTCGACCGGGGCTTGTTCTGGGTCACGTTTGTCGCGTCGGGAGGCGTCAAGATCGTATACGACTTGGGGTTGTTGGCTTTCTTTAAGAATAAGGAGAGGGAGAGGGAAAGAGCTGAAAGATTGAGAGCTCGGAGGGATGAGGAAACGGTGTCTTGAATATCTAAAGTAGATGGTCGTTGGGTTAGGTAAGTTGATGGCCCGAGGACGTAAGCGCTTCAATGATATAAGACGGTAATAGGAACGAGTACCTTGATGGCTCGGTGACGTAGTATGTCAAACAGGAATCAGTCTTCGCCAACATTTATATAGTCCAGTCCGTCCACTATTTCCGAATCATATATATTCTTACCGGGACTCGTCTCTTGGATTTTTGAATAGCTGCCCCCTCCACTACTACCCCCCCAAAGTAAATCGCTCAACAGTAAATTTTACGGGTTATATTGGATATATGAGTATCATATTTACAACCTCGTACCTGATGTATTTTGCCATCAAGCAATCGAATCACATTTTCACCCCATTTAGCTGCGGCCTTCAACCCCAACTAGCCGCGCAACACCATACCTAACCTATACGGGCAACATTGAAAACATTGCCATCTATTTACAGCTCACAGCGACGTGACTTAGAAGTTTTCCTTTCCAGAGAAGCGCTCATTTTGCACGATCTCGACCCAGTATCCATCCGGATCAAGCAAGAAAGCAACATTCTTCATGCGTCCTTCAGTGAGCCTCTTCTTCCAGCTGACCTTGAGGTCCTCGAACCGCGAGCAAGCCGCCTCTAGGTGATCGACCGAGACACCTATCTCGTATTAGCTCTCTCTCCTATCTTCCCCTCTCTTCTCCGCCAAGCTTATCTTTGCAAACCCCCAAGACACGAAAAAACGAAAAAACAACTAAAATGAAATAAAATAAAAGCGTGCTGAAAACTCACAGATATGTCCAAAGCCCTGCGGCTCCGAGTTCCCGTCATGATACTTGAAGTTCTCGTCCTTCTCCGTCCCGTAGTTCCACGTGAGCTCCAGCAACCCTTCGTGATCGGCCGTGAACCCGTCCTCCGGAACGCCCTCTGGGCCCGGGTAGCCGAGGAAGTACAGGTTGAACTTGGCGGCCGGCTGCTCGACCGTGCGGAACAGCTTCATCCCCAGTACTTCCTGGTAGAACTTGAGCGACTTCTCGGCGTCTTTGACCCGGATCATCGTGTGGTTCTGCGCATTTTATCGTCAGCTATTTTTACTCGCCTTTTTTATATACTTTATATATATTTATATATAAATATATAATATAATATTCATGGTTGTTGACAAAGGGGGGGGGGGTAGGTAGGGAGGTAAGCAAGAGGTGGCATTTTACCATGCGATACGTATTAACATCCGTCTCAACACCCTGCTCCTCCGGATCCTCAGCGCCCTTGGACCCCCTCTTCCGACTAATAATCTCGACCCAGTACCCGTCGGGATCAAGCGCGAACGCGATGTTCTTCATGCGGCCGTCCGCGAGCTTCTTCTGGAACTTGTAGCCGGCGTCCTCGAGGCGCTTGCACGCGGCCTGGATGCGGTCGACGGAGAAGCAGACGTGGCCGAAGCCGCGGTACGGCTCCACGTTGCCGTTGTTGACCGTGTAGCTGGGGTCGTTCTCCGTCCCGTAGTTGTGCGTCAGCTCGATCACCCCCTGCCGGTCGAACGTGCTGTTGCCCCGCGACGGAGCCCCCGGCCCGTCGTGGCTCAGGAAGTACAGGTCGAACTTGGACTCTGGGAATTGCAGGTGCTTGACTACGCTCATGCCGAGGAACTCGTAGAACTTGACTGCGTTGGAGGGTAAGTACAAACAAGTATGGTTAGTCAATGTTGTGTTGTGCTATCGTAGCGGAAGACCTCTTATGGTGCCGGTAGGATTTCATACTGGATTCTCTAGGGTCCTTCACTCGAATCCTGTGGTTGTGTTTTTTTGTGTTTAGTAGCTCATGCATCTTAATTGGAAGACCGCTCTGGACTTACATCGTGTGGTTGAACTTGTAATTGTTCGTATCTGTAGTCGTCGCCATTGTCGCAAATGTTCGCCAAGCGCTTGTACTTGTCTTAATGAATTGGTTGGGTACGTGATATGGTCTAGGTAGTTGAATAGATTGTAGAAAACCTTTACTCGCAAGTTGCGTAGATGATGGTATCGTATAAGAGTGTATTGCTGTCCTGTACACGCAGCGAAGACAAGACATGTAGTAGGGGGAGGTGTTGTGGTATTGAGAACAAAAAAATGATGTTGGATTTACTTGAAGTCCTTTAGGTACAAGCTCTGCGATAGACAATAATATAGGTATCTTCTAGAAGTACCTACCGATAATGGAGATAATGGATAACGGCCTAGGAGGTAGCATTCAAAATAATGACGTTTTGTCACAGGCTCGCAGCTACCCCTCCAGGCCCCTCTACTCTAGCCCCACGTTAAACCAGCCCAGATTCCACCGAGGCTAGCCAAGGGACGGATGTATCAATGTACTTTGGAATAGCTTCGTATACCTAGCCTAGGTATATAACAGGTAAATAGGTACCTAGGTAAATAAACAATAAATACCTCCCATCTTATTTGCACATAAAATTGATGAGAAACAACCCGCCTTATTTCCAAGACATAGTAAACCCCTGCTCTTTTTACTCTGTATCTCTCTAAGTTGCATTGTGCCACCAACTCCAAGCAGACAGACAGACAGACAGACAGCTTGCGCCTTCGAATTGTTTTTGTCTCAAACCTACTGGGTTAACCTAACCTACCCTAACACAACTCTACTATACATGTATACAAAAGAAAAATACGTTGGCTATGGAAACATTGAATTTGAGGGATGATACTCGTCTTGTTGAGATACGCTACCTATGCGATCCGTCACGCGCAGACTTTCCCCGCCCATCGAGGACAGGTCGTAAATAGAAGAGAAAAAAAAGGTTACCCGGTTACGTCGAGCTGACCCACGGCCCATTCGGTGCTGAAATACTGACTAGGAGTAACGAAGAATGCGAGGGCAATTATGACATATAAGGCCATTAACTAATATAATTGTTAGTATTTCACATTTCACCCAATCTAATAATGAATTCGGTGACATTACCATTGCGCCCTCGAGATAGTTGGATTTTCCATCTTGGACGGTGTAAATGACAACTAGCACAGCTAGAGCGAACGAGACCGTTTCAACTATACCACGTCAGTAAACAGCAACGGTAATAAGATCCCAAATTCGACTTACAAGTCTCAAAGTGTAAATCCATATCTCTATTCATAATCCAGCCGAGAACAACGAGGAACGGGGTCACGAACAGAGCAATCTGGAGACTCGAACCGATAGCAACTCCCATGGCCTGTGTAACAAGTTAGCTCTATAGGTATTTTAAATCAACTTCCCCAAGACAAATAACATGGAACATGGCACTTACAAGATCCATCTTGTTCTTCACGGCCACCACGACGGCGGTTACATGCTCCGCCGCATTACCAACGATAGGAATGAGGATGAGACCAATAAAGCTGCGGCTGATATGGGCACGTTCGACTAGAGCGTCGATACTGTCGACGAGATAATCCGCACAGATAGCGACCAGAACAGTAGTGACTATTAGAACGGCGCCGGCGGACCATGGACTCATATGCTGCTCTTCCTCTTCCTCCGACTCTTCGTCGTCATCGTCTTGAACTGACGCATGTTGAATAATATCGGCTGCAGCCTCGTTAGGAAGTTGGGTGACTCCGTTCTGCGTGGGTTCCGGCGTCGTTCCTGCTTCGGCGCAGAATAGCTCGTGATGTGTTCTCAGCTGGAACCATAGGTACAACACATAGAGTAGCAGCAGGATGATAGCGGTGCCGCGAGAAAGTGATAGCACGATTTGGTTACGTTCCTCTCTGTTATCTTCCTCGCTGTTATGGTTGATGATCATGAATAGCTACGTCCAAGGTTAATCTTAGCTGTTTCGTTTTCTTCATTTTTCCAAAAAAAAAAATTTGTTCGTTTTCTTTTTTAAAAAAAAGAAAAAAAAGAGCAATGATAAAAAAAATAGAAAATAGAATAAAGTACTAACAGTGCCAGGGAGAATCATAGAAGCAGCAGATAGGGTCATGAGCGAAGCTGTCGTCTGGGCGGTAATGCTCTGGAAAGACTGTTCCTGGCCGCGGCCCGCCTCGTCTCTCATGTTGACGATCCCGCCGAAGAAGAAACACATGCCCATGACGAGGAGCAGGTTGGACAAGATCGAGCCAATCATGGACGACTTGACCACCTCGATCTGCCTGTCTCTTAATGCGATTATGCTAACCTGCAGGGGAAAGAAGCAGTTAATAAAACAAAACACTATGATCATGCAAGTAATGGCGGGTTGGGGGCCGTTTTTACAATCAACTCCACCGCATTGCCGAAAGTGGCATTCAGCAGGCCGCCCAGAGCCTCGCCCAGCTTTACCGATATTTCCTCCGTCGCGAATGAGAGCACGGCGGCCAAGGGGATGATGGCGAAAAAATTGATGACGAACACGGCAACTGGGTCCCAACCGGCTTGACCGGCAACGATGCCAATCGGCACTGCGACGAGAAGGATGTTGACAGGGCCTAGACAAAAACAAGATCGATCTTTTAGTTACACATCCCTGCCTTTTCCCCGGATTTTACTTTGCTTGGTATAAGATATACGGTATACGTACTGCTCAATAGGGTAGCTTTGGTGATATGCCACGTATGGGCTGGATACTTGACCCATGGCTTCGGGTTATCCGTGCCGGGCGTGTGGTTCGCATCGAAAAAGAACTCCCAGGCCCCACCACTGTGTTCATGATGGTTGGCAAAGCCATTGCCATTTTGGACTACGTGACCGTTATTTAATAGAGGTGTATCTTCGTTCGGTTCCCCATTCTCGTGCGAATGCGTCAAGCCTGTGACGGTCTTGCGAAGTTGGATTTGGAAACTCGGTAAGACTGGTTCGCGATCCATTGTCGCCTCATCGTTAGCCAAAAAAAAAGAGGATATATAAAAAATAATAATTAAGATTCGCTCGGAAGATTTAAAGCCTCCACGACGGTGAACACCACATTACTTTGTGGAAAGCAGCGCGCAGATAGAGATACAAATGTGTGTAAGGAAACACGAGAAAGGGGGGGAGAAACCAAAGTAAGTAAGAAAATGACCGGAATTAGGGATTAGGCGTCTAATTGATTAGGCAGGAAAGTGCAGTAAAGACTTATTGGGAAGATATAGCGCAATAAGTAAAGGCTGTGAATAACTTACACACCATTGGGGACAACGCTGGGATTTCCCCCGAAAGTAACGCGGCCCAAGTGAGAAAAAAAAAGATACCAAAGCTCAGAGAGAATGTGCAGGAATTGATTGGGGCGGGCGAGACAAACGAGGCGCAGGCGACCTGAGTAAGGTAAAAAAGACGCTTTGTTTTTTTACTCGCAGCGGCAAATGGGGTGTGATTTACTAAAATCGCCAGAAAAGAAACAAGTGACTCTAGGCGTAATGTTAGTTAAGGCGTTAGTTTAATTGGAATGAGAGATATGACGAGATACCAAGCTCTTTTTACTGTTTTTGGCCGATGGCTTCGCTTGTCTTTTTTATATAAGTTATTAGTCCGGTTATTTCTTTGGCTTCTTAGATTTCTTGGGATTTCTTGGTACTGGACAAGACTGGCAAGACTGGCAAGAAGTTGCTGGGAAGAGTTGTCTTAGGTAGACATGCATACCTTTGGAATTTCTTTGCCAAGAAACACTTAACAAAACTTGAGAACTTTGTTAATTTCTTTTCCTTCTTGTTTGTTGTTGCCAATTGGTTAGGTATGTATTGTAGGTATTGTACACAGTAACCTAGTATAATAGGTAAAAGGACTTCGGGACTTTGAGTTGTACGAGTCAAATTATCTCTGCTTAGTATCTCTTCTTATTTTTACTTCAGTCTCTAGTTCCAGTTTTCTCCTACTTACTCCCTTGTTGACCGTTCCGGGTGTTGACGTCGTCTTTTCCTAATCGTCCGGTAGTGTAAGGGTAGTGTACGACACCGAAGCTAGAGAGACCCATCTTAAAAACTCCACCTTCAAAACAAGGTGAAAGGAACTGAAGCGGATGAATGCATCAGACTTTACCTGCAGTTAAAACGTGGCGTGAGCTCTAAGGTCGCATGGGGATTGGGGATTCAACGAGACAAGGACAGGGGTCGTAAATGTTAAATGCAAATAAGGCACTGTTGGTATCCTATAATACGACGGGATATATCCAATTGAGCGCAACAAGTCTCAGTCAGCAGCAAGGAGCTAGGACCAACTTTTTTTTTAGCTTCGATTTTCTCGAATTTCGATCTCACCAGGAACGAGCCGAAAAAGGAAGCTAAAAAGTTGAACTTGGTCAAAATTTGAAATAATAGATTTTTGTCATGATAAGATGCAGATAATAAATAAACCATAATCATTAGTCCTTCTAGATCGTCCGAAATAGAACTGACATTAGAAGTAGAAGTAGAAAGCAAGGACACTAATAATATTAAATATCCGTGCCAATGGCTTGCGTAAAAAGGGTTGATTGAATCGTGGAAACGTCACCTATCTCATGGTAGCACAATTGCAGTGGGAAGATAACCAGATTGGATGCCAAGTGTGGCAGTGTACATACACGAATCGTGTAGGTATGTACTACCTCCTATAATAAATGTATCTATTGTACACGTCTAATCTAGGCAACCTATAAGGGGTACATGATGTACCTTGTTTAATGGTACGCTACTTATAGGTACGCCCGGCCACGGTAAGCTCCAACGCCATGTCGTGCAACTTGAGGGGAGGTAGATTTGAAACCTTGTACAATACATGGTACGGTAAGACAAGATGGAGGAGGCCTCCCGGTAAATACTTGGATACCTCCCACCTACCTCAAAATCTAGATAAGCCTTTTTTTTTTTTCAATTAAAAACTTGGCTGCAGCCAATTGCCATCATTAGAACTACCTACCTCCTATCGACATGTCACCCTGCACAAACGATATAACCCTGATTTAATATCTAACCCCTACGGATGCTAAGGTCGAATAACCATTCGTCGAACGCCATGCACGCTACCTACACGGCGCCTGGGGGCTTACAACAGGGCAATGCAAGTAAAATACATACGCGGACTCCAATAGTTGCGTAACCAATGCCGCTGCACGTTTCCAAATTATCGAAAAATGAGAATGGAGACAGCGAGGGTAGAAGTGGAATAAATACTACATGGAACATACTACATGGGGGCATGGCCCGAATAGAAAGAGATGAAGATTATTGCCTACTAAGGTCAGCTACCATCTGATCTACTGCGTATAAGCATTCAGGAGCTGCAGTTAGGTGCGAGAAATTAGGATTCAAGGCGGTATAGTGGTGAGCTTGACTCTTACACCGCCAGTAAGGTAAAAAAAAATAGGTACGTAGCACTGCTATACCCGATACGCGAACCCCAATATAACTATATTATCATCACTCCTATTCTCTCATGTCCGCCTCTGAATCATAATCATTATTCATGCCCATATATATCTAAAACGGCCACCAACGCCTTCAATATATCCACGTAACCTCCTATCCTCTCTAATTGTTCTGTGTATGTCCCACAGCTATCGTCAAGACAACCCGAACTGGCCATGCCATCACATAAAAGCTAGTGTATCATTAGTCCCTTTAGGTCTACGAAGAGGAATCGAGATGGACTCACCTGCGCAGTAAGCTAAATACCACGTCAATGAAGCGCCACCATCCAGCCACCCAGGGTCAAAGTCCTTCCGTGTGAAGAAATCCCACGCAGCTTTGGGGTCGACCGTTGCTAGATTCGCAAAAAGAATTCCCTTCCAGCCTCCCTCGACCTTCTCCGCTCGTCCCTGGTCGAAGTACGTCGCCCACTCTTGTTTGACAAAATTCGCGGGTCGAGTGAGCTTTGTGCTAGGTAGAAGCGGAAGCATATGGATACCTTGGATATACTCGATATTGGATCCGAAATACGTGTTGTGATCGCACTTGTTTTCGAATAAAATCCCGGCGACTCTGTTTCCCACGTACTGGGAGGGTTGGACATCGTTGTCCTCAGTGTAGAGATAGTACCGGTTTAGAGCACGAGCGATGATCGACAACATCAGGTTACCCCTATTTGTTTCTCTCCGTTAGTTATCAGTATAGTTTTCTGAGGACTTGCTTGGCCTTACCTGGCTTCCATATTAGCGTCCTTGACTGTCTTTCCCCATACCTTAATAGCATAGGCGTGTAGCGCGTCCTCTGAGCTCGATTCTTGGTCCTATGAAATAGCTTAGTACAGCCACATTTTTTAGTGGATGCATCATCAATAATACTAACCTTTCCATCAGAAGTCTCATATAATCCATGAGCCCAACTGTGGCCATGGTACCAATCGAAGTTGCGCGAGACTGGGAAGTATTTATCTAGTGGAGAAGGGTTGGCGATGTCCCTGACTAGCGCGTTCACGTAGTCGACATTGTCCTTCGTAAGCCAACTGGGATCGAGGTAGCCGATGATGGCAGCGGCATAAATGAAGTAGCCGTAGTGAAAGTGGTGATCATTGTAAAACGTATTACCGAAGTCTGCGCCATCGTTTCCGGTCAAGTAGGTCGCAGAAGAGACCAGACCTCCCCAGGCAGCTTTTTGAGATCAGCTCTGTCCAAGTCGCAGGTGAAGAAAGACTTACTTTCGTAATATAGGGGGAATTGCTGCTTGTTCGCCGAGAACCGACTAAAAGCGGCCTTCAAGTTTCTCAGCCCACTCTCAGCCAACTCTTTATTCTTGAGCAAGTCGTTGGCTATGTAGCAAATTCCAGCGAACTTCGCCAATGCCTGCCACGACTATTAGCTACTATTCATAAGGGCAAAAGTCCCACCGGATTGTAACTATACCTTTCCACTAAAATACATTGAATTCTGGTCCGACTGGTGGATTGCATCCTGTGCTGTTTCGTTCATAGCTATGGGGGTGACCACGTTGATTGCATCGTCCTTCAACGTTTTCTTCTCACCGTCGACAGGATCCCAAGGGGAGAGATACATTGAAATAGGCATATGAGGCTCAACCATGGTCCATGAATCTGCAACCACGCCCACTGCTACTCCCTTGGTTGTGGTTTGAAGCTTTGCCGTCGTGATGCTATCATGGGTCTCCTTGTCGAAGGAATCCACATGGTGAGGCAGAGCGTAAATAAGTGGCTTGTCATCCGAGATCCCAGCCTTCTCAAAGGTGAATTTGTATGTGCCTTTCGACCCTGATACCGAACCGGAAAGCGTTACATTAATGGGATATACACCAGAGGCCCGATCTATTACCGACTCAGCCTCACCGGGATCCTTGGCAATTTGAATGACCCCGTTGAATGGCTTCTCAGCTTTGGCCATCCCGTTGTTGACCACGGTGAGGTCAAATGTGTCGCCTTTCTCGGAAAAGGCATATACATGCCATACTTTTCCGTCCTCCAAATACAGCGTATACTTGGTCACGCCTGGCTTAGGCCCCTTGATGGATTTTGTGACCGTCTTGAAGTAAATCCCAGTATTGATAAGTGGAGTCCCTCCTTGGTAGATGGCCGTGACAAACCCCATGCCTTGCACTAACGGGAATGTAATAAGAGGTTTCGCTTTTTTATCAGCATGTAAATTGACGTTCGCCGAGTGTGCGGTCAGATTATCAGTCGTCAAAATGGTATTTGGACCCAATTCTGACGCTGAGAGACATAATGACTGAATGCCCACGGGATTCAAAAAATACTTTGCGGCACCTGTTTCTTTCGACGCCTGGCCATATACTATCTGGTTTGCGTCTATATGTGAAATGGCCAACCCCCAGCTGGACGATGCTCCCTGACCATGCGCCCAAACGACTGAGTATGGGTGTACATATGTGGGCGACGTCTGATTGCCAAGAAAGAAATTGGCATAGAATTTATTTGTACCTATCGGTCCAGACTTGTTGTTGACACCTTTTCGAGATACCGGATGATCCTTCTGAACGGGGAAAGAAGAAGCAGGGGCGCTAGTTGCGATTGGCTTCTCGAAGATGTTCGACGATGCGGCTGTTGGAGACATTGTTGAAGTGTTTGATGAATTCCCATCCAATCCAGACGGAAAAGGTGCAGTTAGGCTTGATGTCGTGCTGCTAGTAGAATTAGGAGCTGCTGAGATATTGCTAGTCCTGTTGGATTCACAACTAGACGACGGATAGAGCTCTGGGGTGGTAGAAGATGTGGAATTTGTTGTCAGGAAAATAGGTTGATAACCCTCACGATGGATATCTTGACGTTTCCAGGGGGGGTAGTAGCGCTCTTGGGAGGTTTCTTGTTTAGCGGGCCTACCTTTATAATGCGACTCAACCTGAGTATGTCGGGTCCAAAGTCGTGCTGTCAAAGCAGGGTAGACCTGAGCCAATGTCAGTATCCAATAGAGCAACAACATAGCGCCTCGGGAAAGGGAGAGTGAGGAATCAAAGGGGGGGGTTGTTCTTAGTGGTCTGTCTTTATGAAGCTATCCAAGCCTCATCGGCGTTCCCAGCGCTCAACTGGATATGATGCTATATGATGATCTCTTCGTGGATAGTAGAATAGCAATTGGACATATTTGCTTGGGTATAATAGAAAAAGTTGTTGATGGAGCTTAAGATCCAAAGTCCCACGCCCATGCCCATAAGTAGTAGGCCAGCTGAAGTTGATGAACAACATGGTGTGTGACTAGGGCCAAAGATGCCCAAGAATGATGTTGGTGTACCAGGCGACGGATGAGTCAAAGTGACGAATGTTAGGTGTAGTGGGAAGCAGTTCACGAAGAGAGGAATGAGTTGTCTTGAATAGGGGCTGAGGGGTCCTACCTAGGTGACCAGCTTGAGCAAGCGAAGGAGTCTAGAATAATCACTGGAATGAGAATCGATGACAGAGAGATGTCACGAGTGAATGGCGAGGTAAGCCGAAAGGTATACAGAATAATAATAATTGAGTCTTTAGGATAAAATGTATTAGTTGACTTCGACGGTTGTTCTAGGTCTTTAGGGATTTGTGAGTGGAAGAAAAAGTGAAGTTGTAAAAAAAAAGAATATTCGTTGTAATAAATTTGTTTGATTGAAATTCAAGCTTAGTAGCCCTAAGAGAAAAAAAGGAATTATTTAAAACAGCTTCGTAACTACTTCATTCACTTGCTCATTCCATATTTTGGATAGAAGTCTCGTATAGGTGGAAAGAGCGTATTCTCACAAGACTTAATAAAGTACCTAAGGTACCTAGGCAGGCAGGTACAAACCAGAAGAAGAGAGGCACTCTTGAGTTCAGGTTTCTTCCCTTCGAAGTTCGAACCCTTCTATTCAAGCTAACCTAGACCCACTTTAACAGATACATTATGTAAACTTATACTTTGTCTAGTTAACTATTATCTCAGCGAGCTCAGACCACAGATCCAGTGTTCTTCTCTTTGTACCCCTCTAGCCACACCAAATTTCAACCAATCAGATAGCTCAAAATAGGGAAAAATCAAACACTCACAATACAGACAAAAATTCAAAAAGACCCACAGATACAAACACACGGACCATGCGTTTGGGAGGCGCCACAGGCGCCTGTGGGTTGTCTGAATTGTGGTCTGAGTTTACTGAGATAAGTTAACTAATTGTATATGGCCATTTTGGCTGGTTTTAAAGTCGGATCGATGTTGTTGGGACAATTTCTAGATATTGGATAGATGCCCCTAGGATAAAATCATTTAATGCGAAAAAAAAACACGATACCGATTATTCATATTGACTTATATTAATCCCTGCAATACGAATATTTGAAGCGTGAATCTATATACTTAGCATGTCACGTCGTGATCTATGAGAAAAGGAGTAGGACCTATGAGTGTATTCACAGTCCTAATGCGCTGTATTGACCTTTGGTGTGTGAGCTTCGGGCTTCTAGTTTAACCAGGGACTCTTGTTTCGCGTGTTTGCTCGTCTCTCTGCCCTTGTCCTCAGGTTCTAGCTCCCGCTTATGCTTTTCGACAGCAAGCCTGTTTTCCTTTCTCTTCTTCTTCCTCTCCATAGACTCCACATCGGCCATGTATTGCTTCTTACATCGCCGGACTTCCTTCCTCTCCAATGCCCAGGGTTTGCTCAAAACATCCTTGCGAAAGTCGCGAATCTTGTTCCAAAACTGGACCTCTTGACTTGTTGACATGACTCTCTGCAGCTTTTGCACCTTGATCTGCTTCTGTCCCCGGAAGACATGCGTACTACCTTTAACCTCGATGACCGTGCCGACGTCAATTTCCGAATATGGATCCGGGACTGGGTTTTCTGCGTCGTTCCCGAGTCGACTATCAGCAGGCTTCGGAGTAGTTATGCTGCATTCGATGCACGCCCCGGTACTATCATCAACAGTGTAATTCCGGTAGCTATAATACTGGTCTATCGCAACTACGACGCCGACGATCCGAACCCAGCGGATAGGGTGGTTCAAGGAGAAAAACACATTATCACCTGTCGCATGGTAAGCCTTACGTCGTAGAGTCGGTAGTATTAGGTTAGGTAGTTGTTGGGCTATAAAGTAAATACCTTCAAACCCCGGTCGACCTTCAAGGCCGTGGATATCGATGGCTCGTAGAGGACACCATTTGTTTATCGTTGGGGATAGATGAAAGCAATACGCAGGATAAAAAATAAGAGGTTCCGCACTTGTCATGGCATTTTGATTTTGATATTGATAGACAGAATCAATTTACCGAAAAGCAATTACTGACGAGGTTAGCGTGTTATGTCTTAATGTTTGGAAGAGGACGATTGACTTGCGATGACGCGACTGACGCGCAGGACGTGGAAGTATTTTTTTTTAGGCAAGCTTAGGGCACCTAAGCCTGCCAGTACAGGTACCGACCTACAGGTACCTACATACGTCATGCAAGCAGAAGTTGTGTTGTAGCAACAATCACATGTAAACAACGCATCACAACTCGGTATGGTATCGGGATGGGTAGTTGTCTGTCAAATTTTGTGTGAATTACTTCGTGAATTTAATGCTTGATGTAGTAGTGTGATACCTAATACCAGGTAGTACGTTTATAAATCAACCCGATTGCATGCATGTCCTGATGATTCCCCCTGCTTGTCTTAAGCAATACCAAATACGCCGTAAACAAAAAATCAAGGCCTAATCTTCACTTCTTGCTCTTCTTCTTCAACCTAGCTGCCGCGGCCTGGAAAGCTTCCTCGGAGGGCTCTTCTTCCGGACTTGCACGCTTCTTGCCTTTCTTGCCGCCTGGTGCTGCACCATACTTCGCCGCCAGGTTATCGAGGAAATTGCTTCGACTCTGCTGATTACTGCGAATAAGTGCTGCCAAGTCGCCCTCGGATGACCCCTTCTTGCCTTTGCCTTTTCTGTCTTTTTTGTCCTTCTTACCGAATAACTTGTCATGCACCCCTAATTCCTTGGCGTACTCCTCAGCCTCAACGCTCTCCTTCTGCGCCGCCTTGATCCGGGCTTCTTTAGACTTCTTGCTCTCATTCGTGTACGCTTTAAATGCGGGGACATCTTTTTTGGCGATGGCTTCGTCGATGATGGCGCGGAATCGTTCGTCATCTTCGAGTACGTCGCTGAGAATGACCGACTCGTAGATCTTGTCCATCTTGCCTTTATATTCTTCGTATGCGATTAAAATATCATCCTTTTCTTCGTCGGAACCCTTATATTTCTTCGCAAAATTTTCAATCGCATCTGCGGTAACCGTGTCGCGGTACTGCTCTCGGTAGAAGTCTGACCAACTGAAGCCATCCGAGTCGACAATGGACTCGCAGGTTGAGCCTGTTTCATCGTAACGCTTGCGTCTCGCCGGGTCGGATAGCACCGCATATGCAAAGGCTATGGACTGGAAGGTCTCGTGGGCTTTCTGCTTCTGATCTTCGGGAACCTTGTCTATATACAAAGAAGGACGTAAGTAAGAATGCGTAGAATGCAAACACTTGCCAATATAATGGGTAGCTTACCTGGGTGATTTTTCAAGGCAAGCTTTCGATAGGCTGATTTGATTTGGCTCTCGTTTGCCGTGCGCTCTAAGCCAAGGACCTCATAAGGGTCGATGGTGGGCGGTTCGCCAGCAAGTAAATCGTCCGAGTCGTCCATAGTAAGGTTAGGTAGGAATTAATAAACAGGCTGATACGAAGTACAAAGTTGTAATCTAGATGTAAAGTCGACGAAGTCCAGGTGGAAGTATGGGGATCGCGTTACACGCGTTTTCTCTTTACGCGGCCTTTATCGATAAAAATAAGGTACCTTCAATTACATAATTGCTCTTAGCGGGGTCTAGGTACCTAAGGTAGAAAAGTGTACATGGCTTTTGTACATCAATATCACTTTCGCTCTTTTATTTACCCTCTTACGCCAACTCCTCTAAAAAAAAAAATGGCTGAATGCATCCCTCGCCAAGCAGGAGAGATAGTAGCAGGAGATCATAAAGGGTACATGAAATTTGCCTTATCCCTTGCTACCAAATCCTCGCCAAAGCCCACCAACTACAGAGTAGGAGCCGTTGTCGTGGACGTAGCTACGAACGAGATCTTGGCGACGGGGTATACACTCGAACTTCCTGGTAACACCCACGCTGAACAATGTTGCTTTGAGAAGCTTGCAGCAAAGTACAATGTTGCGGCAGGTCGCATAGGCGATGTTCTCCCGAATCAAGTTGCTCTTTACACCACAGTCGAGCCATGCTCTCAAAGGCTCAGCGGAAACCTTCCATGCGTGGATAGGATATTAGCCATTGGGAATAAGATAAAGACAGTTTATGTTGGGGTCCATGAACCAGAAAAGTTCGTCAGCGACAACTCTAGCAAGCGAAAGCTAGAAGAGGCCAACATCGAATTTGTGCATGTTCCTGGTTTCGAAAAGGAAATATTAGAAGTCGCAACAGCAGGCCACGAGAAGGCCAGCTAAAAGGAGCAATAGATGGAACAAGCAAAATCGCTTCAATAATGTATTAGGTAGTAGCATATCTAACGTCTAACGTCTACAAGTTCATCTTGGTCAAAAGTAGGTGTTGGTCCTTTTTAAATATGAGGGTATCATAGTGTCTCATCATATATATACTTGTATGAAGAGACATAAAAAAGATCGAATAATGATAAAACATGGAAGGGGATATCATGACAAGAACAAATAGGATATTTTGACGTAGTAAAGTGAAATTCAAAAAAGGCTCATGTGGAATTGAGCGCAACGCGGGGTCCTCGAAAAGAGATGATAAAAAAAAGATTAAGAAATCAAATCGAGCTTGACGCAAAAAATGTCGAACATGCAGACATTGCAAAATTGAACCTTAAAAGGAGAAGGAAGTTGCAACAAGAAAAAAAGAAAAAAAATTGGTGGTTGCTTATCCCAGTGTAATGGGAAGCATCAGGAATTGAGCCCGATGCGGGGGTCGAACCTTTAAGGTTATGTTAGCATATGACTGTGAATAACCTCAGTTGATTGAGAGGAATACATACCCGCAACCTTGAGATTACTATGCGATAGTAAGAGTCTCACGCTCTACCGATTGAGCTAACCGGGCGTTTTCGGTGAAAATTTGGCTTGAATTTGCCGTATATATGCCTTAGGTTGGCTAGATAGGTCAAACGATTCTGTAGCCCTAAAGGACACCATGTGTGTATAATCTTTCACGCACTATATCTTATACTGTGGCTGGCTACCTAAGTTAACAGACTTGATGATCAAATCCGTTTCAACTTTTCAACTCACTTTATTTTACCCATGTGTTTTTTTAGTTGATTGCTTTTATGACTCAAAGAGATGTTTGATTTAGCTATAGTTTAAATGGTAATGCACTACGCATTCTGCGTACTACCTAGGTATCCTTCATTTACAATTGTCTCAAAATACCGGAAAATCCTCGTCATCATTGACACCATAACAAGTACTACTAGGGTAGCCTACCGACCAGTTATCCAGGTCCAGCTCAAGTCCTGTGGCCTGTCTGGCAAGCAGATCTATCATCATCGCCGCGATGTAAACCAGGTTTTTCGGCGCAAGATCTAGAGGGTTGACCATGTCCTCTCCAAATTCCTCCCGGCATTCTTTGCTCATGATAAACCGAACAACCTCAATAATGAATTCAATAACCCGGATATCGCTCGCCTGTGGATCCATCACGATCTGTGACCGAAGGTATAAATAAGGCTTACGTGACTCGTGCATGATGTCAAACTCCAGAAGCACCGGGACCATGTCGATTGGGAGGCGGCGGAAGCCGACGATCAGCAGTACCGGTTCTAGATACGTTTTGCGGAAGATCGCTTGTATCTCCTCATGGTTGAGAAACTTGGCCACCGTTTCGGGCCCGAAGGGCAGAATCTCTCGCCCGAGATCTCCAGCGGTCGGCGGGTTGTTCTCAAGAGACCGGTCTTCCAGATAGGTCATGTCCTCATCCTCGTCGTCGTCTTCCTCCGTCTCGGTCCATCGGCGCAGCTGTATCATGTTAACATAGTCTGATAGAAACGTGGCTCTGTCTTTAGACAGCATTTCGTCGTATGTACGGGACATCTTGTTGAACTTACAAGTTGCTTCACTGGTAAAAGATGAATCCAAGTAAGTCTACGTAATTGATATGTGATAGCTTGTGTGATTTAAGTAATTCAAGCCCACAAATTAACTTACATATATACGTATAAATATGGTTTCCGCAAGAGTGAAAATGCTTTGTGGTCCTTGCGTTTCATGGCAAAGAGAGAACAAACCTCTAACATAATTGTTGTAATGGATAGAACGGTGCTTTGTACATTAAGGTATTATCTGTTTGGCACACACCTTAACCCTGTACTACCTATGTAAATATATTGCACAACCCCTTTATCCCAGTAATGTAATTCCTAGGCTTCCATGAGGTAACTCCCCCCTTTTTTTTGCCTGAATTTTCTTTCTTTTTTTTTTCAAGGCACTACCCCTTTTTAAGTTGATGATAGATTGTCAACAATATCTTGAACCCCAGCAAATGATAGCTATCGACGGCAGTACGCGCTTAGCTATTTCAGTCACGAAGAGCTGTCCGAGAAGCTTGGTGGTAGGGTAGCGGTCCCTTGCACTCCAAAAATACTTACTACCAAAGGCCTCTAGCAAAGGCTTTCTATCCCGCTCCTTGAAATTAGCCCAAGCAGCCATATCGGATGACACGGACGACCACGCGCCCCGGGGAGAACTGAGGATCTGGCAGCGTATTTTGCTTTCTTGAGGATGCGGAGTAGGAGAAGCAGGAGCAGAACGGTAGAGAGGTAGTTTGTCTGGAAACACTCTTCATGGCCCGTCGTGGGGTTTATGGGAAAAGACTCTCTGTAAACAGCCGCGTTGAGGATAGCATTGTCAAACCGAGGGCCAAGATCCCCGACCTGCTACACAAAGGCGGCCGTTATTGACTCATACCATTCATAGTCCAGCTTTCTTCTCAGGGGTCATATCAAATGAAACATCCTGTGACATCCTCAACTGAACATGCGTGTTTTTGGGGAATATATCAAATTATTACCGTACTAGGAGAGCCACAAATCCAAAGATTACTAACTATTATCCCACGATGCTTAAGTTTGAGACAGGGGAGGAAAGACGGTAGGGAGAGACATAATAGGGGAGAGCCTATCTCCATCATTGTGTAAAACCACCATGATTGAACCTAAAAATTTGAAAGAGTAGCAAATCCGGGCAAGACTGAGTTATGGCTTTATCTACGGGGATAATCGCGACTTGTGGTGTTTGGCTCAAAACCCAGCTCAGGAAGCAGGGACAGAAACATATATTGTAGGTAGAGGTTAGTTTATCGACAGACACGAAATTTCAATTTAGGTACCTATTTAACTGAGATTTTCACTACTTGTCACTCTTCAGCAGTCCAAGCTTGAGAACTAGATGCTTACCTCCTAACTTATCCCTGAGATACCTACTTCAGCTATATCAAAGTGCTGAGCGAGGATAGGACTGCCTACCTAAGGTTTTAAACGGTAAGAGTTGAATTTATTTACTAACTTGGTGACTTGTTACATTCTAATCTATAACTAGTGATTTTTTCCTTCCCAATGAACATTTTGATAATTCACACACACAAAGCTTATGATTTATACGCAAAGAGTGAGCAGACTTGACTTTACAACATTGACATGAGCCAGTAGTGGTGCTGGTAACGAGTCGACTCTCGATGTACGTATGGAGCTCGATTTGTTGTTTATTTTTCATGTTTTTCAGTCTTTTTTTTTTTTAAAAAAAAAGTAAAGCACTTCATCTTCGCCTTCGCTTAGGACTAGGTTAAGTATTGCCATTTGAATCTCAGGTTAGTTAGGAAGCTCATACGACAGTACCTATCTAATACCCCTGATACTAAAATAAGGTAGACAATACAAGGTAGGTAATCAAATGATTCACTTTTATCCTTCTACTTTGAAACCCATATGGTACGATTGGGTCTAGATTAACTGACTGCTATGATATATCTGACTACATACCTTAGGTACCTAGGTACCTAGGTATTCAACAGAAATTCTATTCCGTTGAGGTTATTTTCTAATAAGATTAAGCATAGACGAGCCGCAGGTTGATCACCTAGTTACGCAAGGAAGGACTATCGACTTGGGAACCAACTAGTTCGGTTGAGTTGAAGAGACTGACACTCGCCAATGATACTAGGATTGCTTGATATAGAAAAAAAATCATTAGGCCATCATCTTACTAGAGTATTAAGGAAGCTTGCCTATTATTACTGCTAAAATGATAACCCTAATATAAAGTATACCGTATGTTAGATTAGACCATCAATGTAGCTTGGACTCTGTGTCCCAAGAAGTAAAATGGTAAGTGGGAACGGCTTCATTAAATCCACTTGCTGATTAGTCGAATACTAGCGGCATCAATTCAGTAATCCTATTAAGGAAAATAACACTGCCAGTCAGGGGTTTCAAACGGTATGATATTATGTTTTCCTTGTCTCATAACTGACAACTATGCGACTACCCTTGGATCTAGTTTGAACATTTATATTAAAAAATATTTAGGTACCTAAAGCTGAATTTCCTTCGCGCGATTCTTGTCGTACCTATTAGACAGGTATCTTCTCATTTTCGTTAGATATCTGCCAGTCACCTTTCTAAAACCTGTCGCAGAGCCTGCTTTTACCCTGGCCGCTCGTCTTTCTCGGTAGAAGACAAGGTATCCAATTGTCGAGACAAAGCGGTTTCTTTGTAAGATGTCGTGTACCCTCTGAATCACTCACGTGGTAAGGGGCTCAGCTCGAGTCCCAGACGAAGACCAGTGATCTCCGTTCGCAGCAGGATCCATGCAACATCTACGGCGGGGTTGTGGCAACACTGCATAACAGAATAGCGTACCAATTCCAGAATTAACGAGGCTATGTTCATCTATTTTGTTGGGTGAGGCCGTACAAACGGAATGTAATCTGTTGACCCTAGTGAGCGCTGGGCTAGGATATCCCGCATCTAAATCCCGGAGGGAATCTAAGCTGACTGCAAGTAAGTACCCTCCACGACATCCATATGAATGGTCCGGGGACTAGGTATGGAGACGAACACAGATAGCGACGTGGATTAGGTAGCGGGCCGATTCGGTAGTATTAACGTCCCCATGGGGATTAGTTAGTCCTGGACTGTGCGATGGGCCTCGCCTCTGATGACGAGCGGAAGACGTATTTTTTTTTTCTCCCTCCATGACTGTGGGGAAAGATCGGGGGGCAATGAGGGCCTAAAAATTGTCTACGTGTCAAACTCTCTGGAAAAGTTGATAGACATGCTGGACATGTTGTGAGGCCCAATTCCCACCCTCCAATAAGCTGGCTGCATACTGAGGCGCAATCTGCAGGTCGGCCTCCTGCAAAAAGAAGTGGCGCGGTTACTTCGGTTCTCTACATGCACGTGGGCGCTCCGAGCAGCCAGGCGGCATACATACAGCCAATTAATGGACTGATCAGGCTGAAGTCCGTTTGCTGGTTATTACGGATTACATTATGTTAGGTACATATTCGACAGGGTTTTTTTTAGGCCAGACTTCTAGGTCATATTGGATAGATTGGCAAGGGAACAAGACGACGAATTGAGGGTTTACCTCTTGTTGATGTAAGGTAGTCAACATAGCCGATTGGATCGCCTAGGCTTGTACATGAGGTAGATATGACTCTTCTAAAGGCCAGCCAGAGCAACTCTTAAGCTGGTCAACATTTTGGATGCCTACAGCTTACAGCAATAATGGGCTGACAAGTTTCGTTGCCAAAGAGATATATCATTTTCTGAAGTAACTACATCAAAATATGGAAAGTTGTACATTCGTGTATTTCGAACGGCTTTTGATGTCAATAATGAACGCATTACCATCTATTACCTGGCATTTTCTGTAGGTACCCACCAGCTCTCATCAATAAATGTCGTAGTGATGTATATTATTGTAATAGGTGGGATAGAGTTCCAGAGACCGTTATCTTGACCGAATCATACCTGCCGATGTACATGGCAGTCCCGGCTTGGAAAAAAAAAAGTAAACGAGGATATATCAGTCCGGCCCGTTAAGCGGTGTAGATGGAGAAGTAGGTAATGTAGAACAAGATGTAGAACAAGGATGCCCGCCATCGTCTCCTGTGAATCTTGTATGATAAATTTCATTTTACACCTTTATAGAATCCATTAAGGTGTATTCAGCTCCTATTAGAGAAGAGAAGGTTTACTTTGGTGAGGATGGAATCTTGGTACAGCACTGAATATTTTAACAATTTTTATTTATTTATTTCTTTGGTGCGAGTGACGTTTTGGTTATGCAAGACGCACAGCCGTAGGGCAAGAAATGTCAGGGGTGATAGGTTCAAAGCAGAGGGTAGCTATGCAGCTTCGATCCGTGTGGGCGGGTCTTTAAAACGCCCAATTCGGTCTTAAACGGATTAGCTGTCCAATCAAGGGGAAGGGGGGGTTTAACACGCTGATGCCGAGTATCGTAAATACCAACCTTGGTGTACAGTACATGTGAAGTTGTAGTTGAAGAACATATGGACATACCTATGTGAGGTACCTAACCTATGTAGGTACATACTCGTTCCTGGCCTGATGACAACATGTAAGCAGCCTGTGCGGCAGCTTCGCTTGTATGTGAACCCTGTAAGTGACCTGTATGTACACGCATCTCCCTATGTACATACATGACCTCTGACCTACGTATTGACAAGCAATGAGGTTAGGTCTAGGTAGGTACCTAGGTAGGCTTTAACTTAAGCATATCCCCTTTATGATTCTATAATTTCTATAATTTAAATATCACTCTTTACCTCTCTTCTTCCTCTTCCTCTTCCTCTTAAACCTATTATTAGGTAGTAAGGTGCCCCTTTCAGGAAACACTTTAGGAACCCCTCCCTGATTTATCCCCTTGTCTACTTTGTACAAAGCTTCGTGCGGGACTTGCTTATCGGTTTAGCGGTATTCATATCACCCCATATTCAACATTAACTGACTGGTCTGGAGCTGTCAATAGCAGAGCTTGTTTTGCTTCAACCCCCCACAGCGGCAGAACCAACAGATAAAGGTAGATTTCATCCCTAATCGCTACCACCTCTACATAAGGTTAGTATGTAATTCTACTGTCCCATCCCAGTGAATGGAAGACGCTTCCTTGCATTACCTGTTTTAGTTCTGGGTCTAGGATTCTTACAACTTCCTTTACTTCCCAAGCTTCCATTTCTTACAAGGACTTCCATAGCAACAACAAACAAGTCCAAACAGCCTCACAGTCTGAGCCAAACAGTCTCCTCAGTCAAACTGCCCGGACTGCCTCACTTTCACTTGTCCTAATGGCAATCGCGCCATAGAAACGTGTTGCCCTCTTACCACCTACACCTCATCGGATATATAGCCCTTATGGGCATTATCCTACATGCCACTCATACCCCTTCATTCTTATTCATTCCCCTCTCACACTCTTTATGACCTACCAGCACCAGCATCTCATACTTTTGCAGATACACTCATCGCGTATCCATTAATTTAGGCATCTGTGTTGTTGTCTATGAACTAGTATACCTATTTACCTTAGGTACCTACCTACCTAAGATACCTGTCTCTTCGCACATTCAGGTGAGAACCTCCAACTACATCCATCGTGGCTAATGCCCCTCTAACCCTTTTCTTGCCTCTAAGAGACCTTCACTCTTATCATTTCATTACCAAAGACTGCTTAGTGTTTAGACCGCCCCCCAATATTGACACCTCCTAGTTTATCTACCTACATACCCGAGCACCTCTTCTCCTAGTCGTCCTTTCTCCATCGTACTACAAAAGTCAACATGGCAGACCGCGGCAGAGGTGGTCGTGGTCGTGGAGACCGTGGGGACCGTGGAGGTTTCCGTGGTGGACGCGGTGGTGGAAGTGGTACCTTTTCCGGCTTCGACCAGGGAGGTGGCGGCTACCGCGGGGGTCGCGGCGGTGGTGATAATCGTGGAGGCCGTGGAAGAGGAGATCGTGGTGGTGGTGGTGGTGGTGGTGGGCGAGGCGGAGGTGATTTCCGCGGTGGGCGCGGCCGAGGAGGTCGAGGCGGCAACGCCTTTATTGGTGAGAGTGAAGTATACAAGTAAGTTCGGCTTTGTGCATTATATGCTACGACCCTGACACAATTATAGGCCGGGTGGTGCGCCTCCCCCAAGTCTTGCTATTACCAACCTTGAGAACAAGATTCTGGATGATTTCGGAATGGCGGCAAAGATGTCCGCCTTGAAGCTGTCATCTGGCAAGGGCTCGAAGACCCCTGCAAGTGAGCATATGCCTTGCCGACCAGCTTTCGGTAACAAAGGCACGGAAGTAACCCTATGGACCAACTATTTCGCATTGGACGTCGACAAAACACCATCACTATATAGATATACTCTGGAAGTAACATTAGACAAAGAGGGCCCCAAGAAACCCGCCAAGGAAGGTGGTAAAAAGGATGACAAGAAGGATAACGGCCCACGCTCAGCAAAGGGGATGAAGCTTCAGGCAATTATCAAGTCGGCACTTGCCCAAGTCTCTCGGGGAATTCCCTATGTAACCGAGTTCAAGAGTCAAGTCGTATGCCTCAAGCCGTTCCAACTACCAGACGATCAAGTCGTCAAGGTGCCGTACACGGACGAAGGCAAGAACGACATCTGGAATGTCAAATTCTCTAAGTCCCCTGACGTCGATATGGATAAGCTGAGGGCGTATGCCCAGTCTATGCAGGATCCTGCCGGGGAGACAGCGTTCCCTAAGTTCGGAGACGTCATGGATGCCCTTAGTTTGATCACGGGTTACCAAGCTCGAGTCGATAATAAAATGGCTGCCGTAGGCCGAAGTCGATATTTCCCCTTGGAAATCCGCTCGGAAATTACTGACCTGGGCGATCGAGACCACACCATGGCCATTCGTGGATATTTTCAAAGCGCCAGACTTACGACAGGGCGTATCCTCCTAAATGCTAACGTGTCCCACGGTGTATTCCGCGCAAGCGGAAATGTGGCTGACTTGATCAGAAGGTTCTCTTCGAGTTACCGGGATACTAATGGTCCCCAAAATGTGAACAAGTTCTTATCAGGTCTGTGGTGTAACTACAGAATGCCCGCTGAGAAATCAGTTCCGGGGTCAAAAGGCGGCCAGAGTTCGGGTGAAAAAATAATACGGAAGCACATTGCTGGTCTTGCTAGACCTGGCGATGGCCAAGGTCAGAATAAGCCAAGGGTAGACCGGCCTGCTAGTGGGCCTACAGGAGTCTCGTTTTTCTTGTCAGGTTCTGCTATTCCAGGTCTGAAGGAAAATGCTTACTGCACAGTCGCCGAGTATTACCTCAAAAGTTGGTAACCTATCATCTATATCCAGTTGGATGAATACTAATTATTATATAGGGTATGGCTTGAAAGTAGACCCGAATCTACCTGTCATAAAATTCGGCACAAACCGTCCGACCTACTGTCCGGCAGAGTTACTCGAAGTTATTCCAGGGCAGCCTCTCAAGCGTAAACTAACAGGCGATGAAACGTCCAAGATGATCTTGTTTGCTTGTCGATCGCCCTGGGCCAATGCGACGTCGATCATGAACGAGGGTCGTAGGTGCTTGGGGCTGGATGGAAATACAGCGCTGGTATGTGTTTGCCTTCATATCTGATACCACTTGCACCTTGCTAATAATCATTTTCCAGACGAAGTTTAATGTCACCGCTGGCAAGGAGCTGTTGACCGTGACGGGACGCGAGTTATGGCCACCGAAAATTTCGTACCTGAATATGCAGAATAAGTCGCAGGAAACCAAAGTTAATAATGGTAGTTGGAACATGATAAACGTAAAGGTCGTCAAACCCGGTCGCCTAATCAGCAAATGGACCTGGATCAACGTGGAATACACCGCAGGCGGTAAGATCGATGAGATTCGGAATGCCATTTCAGACTTTGTCCAGTTCATGATAAAGATGGGCGTCAACATGACTGAAACTCCGATGCCATCATCTAGCAACACAGTCGTCTGCTCAAGAAACGAACCTCTTACTGTTCGCTTAAGGGAGAAGTTTAACCAGTTCCAAAAGAACCCCCCACAGATGATCTTCGTGGTTCTCCCTGGTAAGAAGACTGACAAAGAGATATACAAGGTCGTAAAGCTGCTCGGCGACGTTGAATATGGGATCCATACCGTGTGTGTACTCAAATCCAACATAGCTAAGTGCTCCCCGCAGTACTCGGCCAATGTTGCTCTCAAGGTCAACTTGAAGATGGGCGGTATAAATCACAAATTGAATAATTCTGTCCCTATCGTTAGAGATGGCAAGACAATGGTCCTCGGGTATGATGTTACCCACCCGACGAACTTGGCAGGAGGTTCGGATGGTCTTCCAAGCTTGGTCGGGATGGTATCCAGTATCGACAAGGACCTAGGCCAGTGGCCTGCTGCGGCTTGGTCGCAGACAGGAAAAGTCGAGATGCTCAACGAAACATTGAGGGAGAAGTTTGCTTCGCGCCTGGACTTATGGCGATTTCATAACAAAGATTTGCCGCAGAACATCATCATCTTCCGAGACGGGGTATCGGAAGGTCAATTTGATTTGGTCAAAGAGAAAGAACTTCCATACATTCGGCAGGCTTGTGCCTCGAAGTACCCGGCTAACCAGCAGCCGAGAATCTCCATCATAGTATCGGTGAAGAGACATCATACGCGTTTCTACCCTACCGATCCTGGCCATACGACAAATTCTCGAAACATCAAGAGCGGCACAGTGGTAGATCGTGGAGTTACCCAGGCTGCGGTGTGGGATTTCTTCCTGACTGCCCACCAGGCCATCAAAGGTAAGTCCCATCCATCCTCTCTAACGCCATGGTAGATTGTTTTAACCTTTGGACGTCATATAGGCACAGCTAGACCTGCCCACTACACGGTTATATTGGACGAAATCTTCCGTGCATCCTTCGGGTCGGAGGCGGCCAACGCTCTCGAAGCCTTGACACACGAGATGTGCTACCTCTTTGGTCGAGCCACAAAGGCTGTTAGCATCTGTCCCCCGGCATACTACGCCGACATTGTGTGTACTCGACAGCGACTATACCTCGATGACTATTTTGAGCGTGCCGAAACACAGTCCACCACCAGCTCTGTGTCCACGGTTGTAGCCCCAGACATTCACAGGAACCTGGCAAATACCATGTACTACATCTAAAGTACGGTATGGCGTTGGTTTATGTTACTTTTTACGATGCTTTTATGAGCCAAAAATAGCAGTTGTTCGATTTGAACACATTTATGTGCCGGGAGCACTACTCACTCACGGAGCAATATCAACGTCTACATTACAAATATAGCATTTTGTGCAAGCGTTTGTACTCTCTATCATCAATAGATTAAGCGCTGAATTTTGAAGCGATGCCTTATATCTGAGATGGTCTTCATGTCGTTAACTCATGTGAAATGGTGACTGTAGATGGCGGAGGAATTGTGCTGATAGTTATTCCATGATATTGAGCGAGTGAATTGACATGCCTAATGTGATCTAGGTTGCGAAAGCACGAATGTGTTTTTATTATCTTATACATACCTATATAACATACAATTTTACTCACGTTAAATTTTGACCATATACAGAATACGTTAGGTACCTCATAACCTAAGGTAAGCACCTAGTCCAACTATTTCAAATTCTCACTTAGAGCTCATATCCATACCCCTTAGGTACCTAGGTGGGCATTCAGATGCACGTGCCCCCGCCGCCGCTTCTGCAACTTGGACGACGCGGCGCCGAGCTCGCCGGCGCCCTCGTAGAACGTATCGAACTCGGCGGCCGGGGTGCAGGCCCTCCAGAGCTCCCCGGCGGCGGTGGCGTTGGAGCCCCCCTGCTTCTTGTCGATCCTCTTCCAGCGGAGGCCGAGGGCGGCGAGGAAGGCGACGCTCGCGGCGGCGGCCGAGATGTAGTACGTGTGCCGCAGGCCGCGCATGTACGCGCCCAGCACGGCGCCCAGCATCCGCTGCTGGCCGATCGACGCCAGCACGCGCCGGACCTCGGAGGCCCCGCTGTGCGTGAGGAGCGACGGGTCGATGTGCGGCGCGTCTCGGGCTAGGCCCTTGATGAGCCCGTTTTGGAAGACGGTTTGCGCGACGGCGATGAAGAGGGCGCCGCCGAGGGACTATATATATATTTACATTTCATTGTCGGTTATTATTTGTTCTTGGCTATTTATTCCTTTTTGCGTCTGGAAATACCAAGACGCTCTTAGTGAAATAAATATGGAGGTATGGACGTTGACAGGTTGATTGGAGGAAAAGTTGCTAACTAACCTGGAAGAATTGCACGCACGAAGTCACCTGCGGAACGAGTTCTTTCGAGACCACGTTCTGCACCACGATGACGCCGGCTTGGAACCCGACGCCGACGCCCAGCCCGTCGAGGACCTGGTATCCGAACCAGCGAGCGAAAGGTGTGTGGACGTCCAGCGTCGTGATCAGTCCCGCGCCGACGGCGACCATGGCGATTTCGACTAGGATGAAGGGGTTGTAGTACCCGGTAGCGGTGATGAGGGCGCCCGAGATGATGGAGCTGGTGACCACGGAGATAAGCAGGGGTAGGAGCTTAATGCCTGCCTTGACGGCGTTGTCCCCCTGGATGGCTTGGAAGTAGAGAGCTGCTACGGGTTAGATACATTTTACCCATTTCTATATAACGTAAAATTGTTGGAATTGTGAGGCTGTACTCACACAGGTAATAGATCAGGGGGAAGAATGAAGCCCCGAAGAAGGTGGCAAACTGTCACATCCCAAATCAGTAATTTCCTTTTTCGGAAAGTCTCACGATGGCTTATGTTCCGGGATAGTTGCCGGACCCCCAACAACAGAACCGTTCCACAAGAGACAAGTACCTCGTATAAGGTAGGCATATAGGGGAGTACGCTTACCAGCATCGCACACAGCAAGTCCCTATCCTTGAAGAATCTCGGAGGCAGTAAGCCCTTGTCCTGTTGATGGTGCTCAATGGCAATGAACAATATGGTCATGACACCAGCACCGGCGAACAAGCCGATGATACGTCGGTCGCTCCACTACCAAATCCAGAGTTATTAGCATTCTGTTTCGCTGGAAAGACGATTTTCTTCAGCAAATTAGTTAAACAAAACATACCGGAAACTGGGCGCCTCCCCACTGGAGCGCAAGGAGTAACATAACGATAGCCGGGATCAAGATCGCGGCGCCTAAAAGATCGAGTTCCAGGACCCTGGCGAAGAAAGACAGCCCCTCGGGGTTATTGACGCGGACGATTTCGAGGCAGAAAAATATCACCACCATCGCGAGTCCTCCGATGGGAAGGTTGATGTAGAAACACCATCTCCAGGTGAGATGGTCCGTGAACGCGCCCCCGAGCAAGGGTCCGGCGACGGACGCGATACCCCACATGCATCCGAACATACCGAACATGAGAGGCCGCCTTCGAAGCGGCAGGGTATACGACAGGATGATGATGGAGCCGGAAAACAGGCCAGCGCTGCCCATCCCAGCTACGGCTCGCCCGATGATAAACACGGTGGAAGATGGTGCTATGGCCGAGACCAAGCTGCCGAGCTCGAAGAGCGCTACGGCTCCCACGAACGAGCACTTGATGTCGAAGGAGCGGTACACTTTGCCGTATAACGGCTGAAGCGCGGTAGAGGTCAAGAGGTATGAGCTGCCATACCAGCCGATATCCTCGACACTCTGATACTCGCCGGTAATCGCGCCTAAAGCCGGAGCAATGATAGTCTGGTCGAGTGCAACTAGGAAGACAGCCAGACACAGAGACAGGATAACGAGATACAGCTTAAGTCCAGTTGGATATTCGGTCCCCTCGTCATCATCGGAGAGGGTGTCCCGGGACTGCGCTTCAGGCCTCTTGACGAGATCGATGTCATACAACCCCTTGTCTTCCCAGAGAGGAATGTCGAAAGAACTCGTAACAGTGTCCGACGCAGAACCCGACATCTTTGAGATCCCCCACGATATGTTACCACCACCACGAAGTACTCGCTACCAGCTTGGATATCTGGTTGTTCCGGAAGATGAAAAAGAAAAAGCCGAGTCAGCTTCACAGACGATATATATCTAGCTAGGTAGGTACGCTTAGCTCTCAGCAGCGAGGAATATATCGGAAGGGCAGATTTCCTATAACGCAGTCATAAACAGGAGTGAAACCGCAAAAGTTTATAGATCATAAATGTGATGTCGACGAGCCGAGACTTTCGTGATGGACAGGCGAGTGAATTACTAGAAGACACGGAACATTTTCTCCCTGCCGATACGTAGCTGTTGAAGGTGAGATGAAGAAAATAGGCTCTATGCACGCTGCGGGCGGCATGTTTATTCGATAGCCGAAGCGCCCCGACAGGAGCAATAGTGAGTGAAAATCATCGTATCAAACCAAGGAAGGCATCCCTGAGTGAAGTATGCATGACACACGCCACCTAGGCAGGCAATGAAAAATCTCAATAGACTACCTAAAGTTCGGAGCTCAGCGTGGGATGCTCGAAGAAGTCTATCATCTAATTGTCTTGTCTTGCGAGCTGTCAGCTTCCGAGAGTGACATGGTGTTACTATTAAGTTTGGTGCGGCGTCATTGATTGCTATCACCTAGTCTATTAGAGTTCAAGCACATCATTCCGTCCGACCATAGGGCTCAATTTAAAGGTGCCATGGTTCGTAACGAGCCGAGGTTGGGGATACAATTCGCTTGACCAGTTTCTATTAATACAGCGCCCATGGACGTCTCGCTATGTGCGCGAGATTCTAAGTTTAGCTATCCCATAAATCTCTGTATCTGTAGGACCTGGGTTTTGGGACTTATAAGCGCACCCCCGGTCAATATGAACGATTCTTAGAGGGCCGAAGTCATACATTGGCATGGGATTGTTAGATATCGTTGCTTTATATGGAATGGAACATATATCGTCTCCAGTAGAGCTACTCGGCCGCCTACTTGAACACGGAAGATGCACTAATAGATCAATTGTATACAATTATATCTATAGCATTAAGTACCTAAGGTACACAAATACCTTCTAGGCCACCGCGGCTTAACGACCGTGATATTAGTCGCCTACATCACAACTGCAACTCAATGACTGTACGAACGATGGTGACATGTTCAATATACAATTGTGTTAAGTTAGGGGAGCATGTATTCGGGCAAACGATACCGAAAAAAAAAAAAGAAAAGAAAAACTCACCGATTCTCACCTAGCTAGAGCTCAACGTCTAAATTAGAACATTCTCGGTGTCTCAATAGTTACTATAACTGTTGAAGGAGAAAAACAATTGGGTACTGTCGGTGCTATAACCACTTCGCTCCACAGTCACCTCCAATTCGTCCCCAAGCCATGTGCTGGCCAGGTAGATATATCAAACATAAATCGCGCGGCGAAAAAGAGCTAATGAACGCTCTTGTGTCTCCTGCTGGAGTTAAAATTGAAAACAATTTCTTAATAAAAACGCCAAGCTGCGTGATCAGCGAAGAGCACATGGCTCCGTCGAGGTAAACGAGATGAGAATCTCGGTTCACCCCTCATAATGAAGCCTAACTTGACCGCCACGATAACCCTCCAAGTCTCCAACGTTCAGCAGCTTCTTGGCGCCCAGTTTTTCGCTTCCATTTTCCAAGAGTTAGCGAATTGCGGCTGTAGGCCAACTCAATATACCCCTGTCCGCTAATCAGGACTAGACGCCCCTCGAGGTCTCAACAGCAATAGGCATTGGCGAAAATCTAGGACTATTACCAAAAGCATACCGTTAAGGTCCAGGGTTTAGTTCAGCTGGGGAATCGTCGTGACTAATAACTCTGATTCAGCCCAGGCTAAGGCTAATGAGGCATTATATAGTGGCTTTTTTTTCCTGGAGATAGAGAATCATGCGAAAATCGGCGGTCTTTGCTCGCCTTCTCATCATGCGTCGCCCTCGTGTCTCCTATGCCTAGGACAATAACTTCTTGATTGATTTGATCCAAACCGCATCGGCATTCAACGTCGGAAGTCATGCAACGGAAATTTAGAGAGGACGTCTTATCTCCATGTATGTACCTTTGCTTGGTATACCAAATTATGCCAGGCGTGTGTCGATCAAAGACTAATGGCGCTAATTTATACCTCTCACCAAACCATTGTGGACTGAATATCCATAATGTTCATCCAAGGGACTTTTGCTCATTGCGCTTACCAACTTGGTACTTAGATAGTCACGCCCGAGCCTATTCGAACATGCCAAGCCTCTTGATCGGAAAAGATGACTGAATATTGGGGTCCTAGGACAAATATGACAACTCAGCGGATTGGTGTTATAACCCTAGATATGCAGCTCCCTGCGTGGGAAATGAAGCTAGCCTCTTGGCTTCTTCAGCCCAGTGAGATAGACCAGGTTTTTATGGCAAAAGCCCTGTGCTGCCTTGGGTCCTGAGTGAGATGAGGTCGAGTAGAAACGCGATGATAAAAGGAGCGCGGTAACCCAGACACTGTTACGGTCGACTTGCTTTCTTCCAAGCGCCTCTTTGATTTTACATCGTTCAAGTCCCAAGTACCCGCCTATCAAGCTCGTTCGAGTTCCATCTGAAATATCGGAATACAAAATGCACGCCCTCACTCTCGCCTTATTTGTTGCACCGGCCGTCATGGCCGCGACGCCACGAGCGCGTTCTGGCTTACCGAAAAGCTTCGCTCAATCTAAGTTCCTTAATGTCCTGGCAACCTGCGACGTAGGCCGCGTCCAGTGTGAGAGGGGGTGTATGCCCTTCGACGCTGAGTGTTGTAATGACAACACCGACGAGTATTGTCGGAAAGGTTACTACTGCATACCTGGCGCATGCTGCCCTGAAGGTGAAATTTGCAGCGGATCCGGCGGAGGCGAAGCCGAGTGTGACATTGGCGAGACTGAATGTGACGGTCTATGCATGCCCTTGACCGGGACATGCTGCAATGACGGTCTTCATTATTGTCCCGACTTCGGCAAATGTACCAGCGATGGATATTGCTGTGATATTGGCGATGACTGCGACGAAGGTGATAGCAGTGGTAGCATCCCCACGGGCTTTAGAAGTAGCACCGCAACTGATGATGACGTGACGTCCACCACGAGCCTCACGACAACAAAGACGAGTACCTCTACTACCCATCACCACACCTCGTCCAGCACTAGCAGCGAGACTAGCAGCGAGACTAGTGAAACCAGCAGCGAAGAGACCTCGAGCGAAACGTCTACTACTGCAGATTCAACCACCGAAACGCCCGTCACTTCTGCTCCTAATGCTGAGGTCACTACAAGCGTATCCCAACAGGCCGGCGGCATCTTCACAGCTGATGGGAAGATAGCTGCAGGTCTTGCCGTCGCCGCCGCGTTGCTGGTTTAAGGCTATCCAAATATGGTGATTTCTTTGAACATGATGGCGATTATAGTCGAAAAGGGGACTTCGATTCTTGTCAAATATTTGGATGGTCTAATGAATATGGCAAATGGGATGAATAATACTGGATAGTTAACACCTATATACCCGGAATAAAAACTTCTTACCGTATGACCTCGTTTTTAAATCGTCCCGAGTCGTTTCCTTGTCACCAACTGCCATAGTCAGCATGATCAATTACCTTCTACTGACCAGACTTTATTCGATCTGCTCGGTTATGATGATCTTGAACTAGAGTATTGAATCCATCACGATAGTACTAAAACCAATTATGAAAACCATTAAGTTTCGTAACTAATAAAGCTTCTTTTCTCTATAAAGCCAGCATATAATTGCGCTGTCAAAGTCGCGGACTTGAGAAGAAAAAGTTGAAAGAGATCAATATAAGGCGTGGTCAAAGTTGCGAAACCGATGAACGGATTAGTGGAGCTGTCATCCGAGTGGGGTAGGTACCTTAGGTACTTTATGGGCTGCTCCTCCACTGTGCCCCTGTTGCGTTTGATAGATTTGGTGACGTCACTGCAACGATAGTTCTCTAAGTTCAGATACCGTACATTTTTATAAAACTGTCAGAATTACATTATAGAAAGCAATGTGTTCCTAATTTCACATACCTTTATCTACATATTCCAAGTCAGAGTCAATAACTGTAATTGAAATTACCGATAATAATTTAAAAACAATGTCAAGCTTCACAGCCATCCGCCTAGCTCTACGAGCTCGATCAGTAGGAGGAGCTCCTCTGGCATCAGCCACCTCGACCCGTCTGGTGGTCGCAAGCAGACATATGCATCAATCGTCAGCGCCACGCTCCCCTTATAAAGATGATATGGATCGGGAGTCCCTCAAACCCAAGACGCACGAGTACACGACGAGCGGGACGGACGAGGACGTCGCTGCCAAGCAGGACGCCGCTTTCAACCCGAACAAGACGGATCCAGACACCGAGAAGAACACCGCCGCCGCCGAGAGCAATGGTAACCCCTTAGATGGGAGTCCCGCGGATAAGGGCTTCGCCGAAGCTGGTAAGGGCAAGTCGGAGGATAAGGCGTACGGTAATCAAAAGAAGGCAAGCGTTGCTGGAGATGCGCCCAAAGGCGGCAAGATTTAGATAAGCTACCTGTTCCTGTTGAGAATAATGATCTGGGAGGAGGAACTGGTATTTAGCCTAGGTGTATTATATTTCGCGCATCATGTTTCGCATTCCACAGTGGGAGTTTAGTAATTGAATCAGGTAGTTTTTTTGGTGGATATCGACGCAATCCCACGATCTCGGGCAATACTTGCCACAAACTGAGCTCATCTCATCATAATACCCCTAACGGGCTCGCGATTCATATTTCGGGGGAGAGGGGGTATCGCCCTACAAACTCCAATATCTACTTCATCTCTTCTTTCCTTAAAAACGTCTATCCGCATTCCCTTTAACCATATAGCCCGTTCACATCATCTTCGTCTTTGTCATCATCCTGCGGGATTTCGATAACCTTCTTTTTGTTCAAGTCCGCTCTGCACATAGGACACGTGCCCTTGCTCTGCAGCCACGGCCCGACGCACTCGAGGTCGAACCGGTGGCTGCCGTGGCACGGCAGCTCGACGACCAGGGGGTACGGGTCGTCGAGAAAATGCTCGGCGCAGATCGGGCAGCTGTCGTCCTTCTTGAGGCTCTTCCGCGGCACCCGGTCCAGCGTGTCGAGGTACTCTTGGCTCACGCCGGGGATCGACTCCGGAGGGGACCGGATGTCGATCTCCAGCGCGGAGATCAGGCTCCCGAGGAAATCGCGGTTTTCCTCCGTCGGCGCGTCCGCGGATAGGGTCTCGAACTGGTCCCGTAAAAGGTGGAATAGCGCCGCCGTGTCGACGGGCGTCGGGCCCGTGTGTTCCCGGTGGCTTCGTTGATTGGCTGTCGCGGGATCCGGGGATATTTGATGTAGATGTGAAGTAAAGCTGGACATATCGGGGCGCCGGCGATGAGGTGGACGGTCCGAAGGCTTAATGTTGTGTTCGACTGCATGATTTTTTTTTTCGTTAGTTTAGCTAATTTCCCTTTTATCATCTATCATTTGAGCTAAGGGTTACCTTCATAAGGATTACTAGCCATGGCGGGCGAATAGTTTGCGTGGTTAAAGCTGTGATTCGTTGCGGTGATATGAAGGGGTAGCAAAAAGGGTCTTTCCAATCGTCAAGTTGTATAATAGCCGCCTAGGTAGGTAGGAAGTAGGTAAGTATTAAAGATTAGTTATCGGGTTGTTCTATCGAGTTTTATAAATAGAAAAGGCTTAGGCCTTACGTGCTCAGGTGTACGTAAGATAGCTGATACCTTCCTTAGCTGAAGCTTCAATTTATTTGCCCCGCGTTATACTAGCTGCAATTGGGACAGGCACGCTACCTAAGCCACGCGTATTTTGGGGGTACTCCGAAAAGTACTTCCTGCCTTATCTAGTATCTGCATGGTGATAAAGAAAAATGTCTCTTTATTGAATTAAGGGAATTATCGGGTCTGATTCCAATAACAGGTATCAACTACAGCTTACAAAGTGCACACACATTTATTTCTTAGCTGATTCTTCAACTTCAACAAATAAATCTAAGTCTCATGAAAAGACGAATTGCCGCCTCATAGCTTTGTCTTCACCCACGCAGCAGCTTCGGGGGTAGTCGCGTTGAAATATGCCGTATGCCAGTTATAATCCATACCTTTCCCACCACCACAGACAGGGTCGTCAGCAAAACACCAGGAGTGTAGTAATTCTGAGAATTTGTTCAGAGATTCAAGTGCGGACCTTGACCTTGGCCAGATCTTTTTTTTAAAAAAAAAGCAAATCTGTTAATATATGATACGAACTTATGCGCTGCTCGTCGACTGTGTAAGTACTTACTCCGTTGCCGCCAGCACCGGTTCCCAAATTGTAACTCTGAGAAGCTGTGTGACGCACGTCGCCGAAGAAGGTCGCTGCCACAACTGGAAGATTTAGTTAGTATATACATTATATTTCTATGGATATGATATTTAGGACTACGAGATTACGTACTTTTATTGCCGGGCGAAGTCTCGGGCGACAAGGGCGTGTTGATTTTCTGCGTGCAGCCTTGGAACGAGCCGCCGCCCCCTCCAAGGATGTCGCCCACGACGTGTCCTCCTTGGGAATAGCCCGTCAAAACTAATTTGGACTCGGGGCAGCTCTTAGCGTATGCCGTGATCTGCGCGGTGCCGTTGGTAACACCCGCAAATGCCGAGTCGCAGTAGTTCTCGTACGTGGCGGGATATATGATATCTTCATACCCGCAGCTCGACAGGCCTTCGCATACTCTGGTGACGAGGTCCACCTGCCGGCCCGGATAGGGCTCAACTGAGCCGCGGGCTATGAAAAAATGTACGTCTTCGCACTTAGTTTGCCGCTCATCGAGATTGACCGGTGTTGCGGCGACAGCCCCGAAGACGGCGGCAAAGACGAGTGACCTGGTGAGCATAATTCCTAGTCCTTACTAAATCGCTTTTTGGAGTTTTTGTTATTTGTAAAGGGGCAGCTAAACGTCCACGATCGAGGGGCGGGACACATCTTATACTTGACCTGTTAATGTTTTGACTTCTCCAGAAGCAGCATAATGCCACTTGATTAGAACCCATGCCGTTGTAGGTTATAGTGTTTTTCGTACTTGTGCCGGATCCACTGTCACATTATCCTCCCAGGTTTCGTGCTGAGAACTTGGGAAATGATACCTTAGATCCTTGCCCAAGAAAATGGTGGAGGCTTTCATGCAATGCCGACATTTCATCTGGTTAGCCTTTTATGAAAGAATTCGGAAAGAATATAGCTTTATTAAGCAGGTATTCCGGGCTAATGGTAAGGCATCATTGGAGGAAAATTGAAGATTGGGATTATAATTAAGATCAGCTTCCGATTTGATTTTAGTTTCTAACAGCTTTTACTACTAGGAAATGTTACTGTCGTTCCCATCTTTGGCCTTGAACTGACACATGTAACATCCGCGAATAGCCCGTTACCCTTTTCCATATTAGGATGTCAGTTATCCAGTCGGCATCGTGTACCGGTAATTGAGTCAAATGCACCATTAACAGAGCAATGACTTGTTTTTACAGCTATGTCGCCAGTATTTTATACAAGTGAAGTCCATGTAAGCGTCTAATTAAGGATATAGAAAATAGACATAAAATCTAGTACGCAGCTACCATGGTTCTGTTGTTAACGTGTTGAAATTAGAGACTTGTCTTAAGAGCAACAATAATGCAGGGGTTTTTATCAAGACATAATACTAGTCTTATTGACTGGAATCTTGTTCCCGGTCCTTCATAGTCAACACCGAGCAGAAGCCCCTATCCAAGATACCAGGCCCCGAGTAGATATACAAATAGATAGAAGCATCTTAGGTACCTGTTATAAGGTACCAGGTATACATACCTAGACCTATAGCTCATTCGTATTCCCTTCATGACTTCCTCATTCATCATCCCCCAAAGCCATATACATACTCCTATCCTACCTCGCCCCACCCCCCCTCCGTATTCTCTCAAACTCCTCGGCCAAAAATTCCGCGCTCTGCACCCCGCCAATCACGTACCGGTCGTTCACCACCATCGTAGGCACCGCGCGCACCGCCAGCCCCCGCGGCGACGACACCTGCGCGACCAGCGCCTCCACCGCGCGGCCCCACTCCCCGCCCGCGTCCACCAGCACGCGCCGGACGTGCGCGGTCGCGAACCCCGTCGTCGCGGCCGCGATCGCCGCTAGGGTCGACGCGTCCGATATGTCGCCGTCGGACTCGTGGTGCGCGCGGAAGAGCGCTTCGAGGAGGCGCAGCTGCGGGGCCGGGCCGTGGGCCGACGTGCTGCCGTTTATGGCGGTTGACGGCGGTCGCGGTGAGGAAGACGGCGTGGGTGCTCCCCAGCCGCTGCGCCCGCCGCGGGGGGGCGTGGGAGAGCGCTCGAGCGCGAAGCGCAGGAGCTTGTGCGCGTCCCGCGTGCTTCCCGTGCGGCCCGTCCAGGCAAAGTTTATCCCGGCTGCCTCGCCGAGACTAGCCCAGTACTCGGGGCTTCGGGTTCGGGAGATGAGGTAGTCGGATTTATCGTATGCTATGTAACGAGTAGTTAGCTACCTGGCAAGTAACCGATCTATCGACGAAGTAGCTCGATGTAGTTTTCCCCGTGGAACAGCTTGAATAGGAACGTTTATATCCAAGAAATAAGACCGTTAGGAGAATATGTCCATTCATCGGTCTAATATCCGTCGGCATGTGATACAATGAGCAGCAAGAATAGACGTATAGACGTACTGTATGTACCCGTCCAGCAAAACTAGCCGCGTACCGGGTTTCCTATTCTTGTGCGCCTCTAAACTGGGGAAGTTGGATAGACTTACCACTTCGAGCTGCCAGAGGGTGGAGTAGAAACGGCAAGCAGACGATCTCGAAGGTTGCGTCAGGATGACGAGCTCTATACGTCTCCATAGCAGCCTTTAGGTTCTTAAATCCGACATAACAGTATGGGCAGATAACGTCTAGGATAAATTCGACCGCGAACTTCGTCGTCTCGGATACACCATTGGTCTTAGTCACTTCTTCCTCCTCTTTTACCGCTGTATCTATAGACATCATGTCGTCGACTGGCAACAGCAAATCTCGTATGCTCGCCATAGTTTCTCCGAATGTTGCAGCTGTGTTGATCGTAGTCAATATCAGAGGTCCAGGGCCGGACTCCTAGAAGAGTTGTATATATAGGCCCTGAGAAACCTCTTAATTTCCTTCTACAAGTGACAACCTTGCCCGGACCACCACCGGAAGGTGAGCGTGGGAAGAAACTCGGATTTGGATAGCAGGAGTCTCAGTATTAGGAAATAAGAAAGATGTATGTAATAGGGGCAAAAGCCCAATCAACGACTTCTAACCACATCCTCAAAGGTCTCATCTTGACGGAATATTCGACGCCGCAAGACATGAATAAATAGTTCTTTAATATAACCCTACCCACGGTAATTAACCCGTACAAAACCTAACTCTGGTACCAACAACTCCATGGCATACATACATGTTACGAAGAAGCGCGAAGACAAGACGCCGGTTTCCTGCATTAGCAGTCCAACAAGGCAAAAAAACAAGAATTAAAAAAACTCTTTAGTTGAAAGATCACATAATCAGAAAATCAAAATAGGGTTAAAAAAATTAATCCAAGAAGCCAAGCTATAATAGCTCTAATCAGGAATGCGTTGGCTAACTGCGCGATGATACGCGGAAGGAATAGGAGATAGATAAAAAAAAAGGGGGGGGAGGAAAGGGATTACATATTACTACTTGCGTCTACCCCATTATGATCACAAATCAAAAAATCGCCAAAAGCTTCCCTCAATACATAGTACTTACTTAGCTTAACTCTTAAGACCTTTTTTAAAGCCTCTCCTCCACCCCACGCACCGTACATGTACGCCATGCAGACAATCCCACCGCCTCAAAGTCGGAAGTACCTATTTCGTCACAATCGTACGAGAAACCAACCCCCGATGAAAAAGCTTTTTTATTCATTTTTGTTTTTTGTACATGACCTCTCTCGCCAAGATAGTAAAAGGTACCCTTAACCTAAGTACGCATTACCCACGCGCGGCAGATGGAGCCGAGCTGAGGATCGACATCACACTTGATCGAGAGGGCCCCTAAAATCCCACCCGCATGAGGTATTGTACCTACCGGCGTACCTAGGGTCCCTAACCTAAGTGAGTATACCTATTAGGTACCTACCTGGAAGCCAATAGGTTAGAGGTATCCACTCTCTACCCGCGCGCCCGGGTTTTAGCGCGGACGCCCTGTGTTGGAAGCAAGGAGAAAACCGATACCTAAAAGATGGGACTTGTATAACCTCCATCTACCTCTTACGCGATAACCATCTCCATGTGATATGTTGTATGTTGGCAACTAACAACCCAAGATAGAAACCAATAGCTCCATAAGAATACCTACGTGGTTCTATACCTCATACTTAATATAACTCAATCACTTCTACCGATATTTCACCATAGGTACGAAGTTAGCTGGATAGAAAAAGGTATGCTTCGATTTGTACGACGTCCTTCATAGATAGGTATTCAGCACAACAACTAAAATTCCTGTACTAGATGGTCCGCTAATCATGCATTCAAGACAAGCCCCTATTTTGCGCTGCCGATTTTTTTTCTTTTTTTTTTCTTTCATTCTTGATGCTCAATACCGGCGGACTCGTCTTCTTATCGACGTACCATCGCACTGTACAAAATGTGCCTTTTCTATAGCAAATCCATCGCACCATGTTTACTATTCACCACAAGAGTAAACATTCCTAAAAGTCCCCGATCCGAATATTTTCCTTTCCTTATCCTTAACTTCCTTCCTTCCTTCCTTCCCACCGGTGCCGATCTATGCGTATTATCGTGAAGACCGCCGGGCCGACCAGTTTATGTCGAATCGGCAGAAAGAAGCGAAGTCCAAACTGGCCATCCTCGTCCCAGTCGAATCCATCAAGTGAGACGTAGGTAATGGGCCCTTGGTATTATTAAGTTCCACTGGTGGCGCCGGCGGCCTATGACTCGGCCAACTAATGTGAAGACCTGCGCCTCTAAGCTGAGCTAAGTCAAGACTGCCTCGCAGTGGGATTCCTGATCTGAAGCCTGAAAACAAGACCCTAGAAAAGACAAACGCATGTGGCAAACAATCAGACCTGCCGTACCATTGGGTATTGAGCCTTCCATAACACAAAGGGAAGATGCAAGAAACAAAGGAGATCTATGCAAGATCATCGTAAGGGGGGAATATGGCCCCGTCGTAGTGCCATCCCACACCGCGTTGGAAGCCATCCTACTGACTAGCCCATAGCTCGTTAGGACGTGGTTTGACGTCATATCCTGCTGAGCCTGGCTCTGTGCTTGTTGCTCGTCTGATTTGCGCGCTTGAGTTGTAGTACATCTGACCCAGGTTGTTACTACTTAGGAACGGCTGATCTGGATCCGGATACACGTAGCTATTGCCACTGTTGCTATGCGTGGGTGAAGCCATATGAGAGGGCGATTGCCATCCTACACTACCCATATGCGGACTTCCAGCCGTGCTACCAGTACCTGACTGATGTGATTCCACACTCGGCTCCAGCGTAGGAGGTGGCGGATATACTGTCGGGTGAGAGGTAGGTCGCATGCCTGCAGGGTAGCCCGGAGCCGAAGTAGGACTCTGTGACTGCATATCGGTACGGATGTGCACCGGGAGCGAACCATTACCCACGTACGCATAGTCGCTATTGCGCATCGCATTAGCAGCAGCAAGCTCAGCACTAGGCGACATAGACATATGTCTTTGGCCTGGAGAAGGAGAGTTTAGTGGTGAACCATGGTTAGACCCAGGGTCGCCTTCACTACGCGCCACGCGGGCCGCGGTTCTGCTAGCCTGAGCTGCTAGAGCATTGGCTGTAGCTGCTGCTGCTTCCTCAACTGTACCAGAATGAGAATTTTGGTGGCGAGTCAGGGTTGTCCTCCGAGTGAACGTCTTTTGACAGTTGGCATAAGGACACTTATACGGTCGTTTACCCGAATGGATACGCCTATGTCGTGCTAATGAGCTGCTATCACTAAATGGCTAGAGTATCCAAGTCAGTATATCTTCTGTACGAAAACGAACATGATTAATATCAATACCTTGCCGCATCTTTCACACATGTGGGGTTTCTCGCCAGTGTGCACTCGCTGGTGCACTGTAAGAGCTGACCGTTGGATAAACTGCTTTCCGCACCCCTGAAAGTCGCAGACATGAGGACGAATACCGCTGTGGATACGCTCTGGGATATGTTAGAATCACCCCGTTGAATCTTCAAATGAATAAAAAACTTACCATGCCTGGCTAAATCACTACGTCTTGCAAAGGCCTTTTGACACGTGCTGCAGGGATACGCTTTATGTTGAGGTTGGGGTTGTTGGGGTTGCTCGGGAGGCTTGTTGTAAGGCATCGAGAGTGGGTGGGATAGGTGTGGCATCCCAGGAATCATCATCGTGTGAGGCATACTAGGGTCGGATAGGGCCATCGTAGCATGCATGGCAGTGGGGGAGCCGTAGGGCCGACCGTTACCCATCCCATTCAATGCATCTAATTGTTGGCCGGGGCGGGGTCCAGAGTGGTAGGAGCTCTCGGATCCGTGCGGCGAGTTTGCACGATCCATCCCGACCGGAGTCAACTGTGGATGGGGAAGAAGTTGATGTTCCGAGGGGCCTGAGGCTGCTGCTGCTGCTGCTGCCGCCGCTGCTGCCGCCGCCGCGTTTTTCTTGTCCAACATGTTCGTGATATTCATCACCTCTGATGATGGCGATTTGGACATGGCGTGGCCAAAATAAAGCCCAAGTTAGCCAAATCACGCCTCGCACGTACTAGAGAGCAAAATATGACTATCACGTCTCCACCGTGCTGCGGGTATTTATAGAGGAATAAATATTTCTTCCCTTGGACGATTTCAGGTGAATAACAGGCCCCGATATTCTAATTTCAGTAGAAAGGAGTCGATATAGTTCAGATATCTGGTTTGCATGGGACGGCAAAACACAAATGATTGGCTTTATCACCAACACTGACAAGGGTTTGGGTCGTCAAACTCGATACGCGTTAGTCGTGACCTGGAAAATTGTAGTCTAACACTTCGGCGTTACGTGAACGGCTTGCTGATATATTGGATACTAGTTGCGCACTCTTGAGTCGGCTTATTTGCAATCAGGCAACTTTGATGCGCCAAGTTTTTCCAGTCGGATCTCGAGGAGAGTCTGCACAGCAGCACAAGTAGCAATATCTAGGGTAATGCTTTTTTCCGATTATTATGAATGATGACAAGGGCGGGGCAGTGGTGTCGCAGTAGTATGCCGTGGGAGCTGAATCCGTGAGGATGTGATTGAAAACGTCGAGTGATGTGGTAGTCCAGTCAAGATTTCACGTTTCTTTGGGGCAGTATGAGGCGAAAGATTCGCGATCCTGACCAAGATAAATCGAGTCAGCACTCTTGAAATAATATGGTTCATTGAATAAGAATAAATTGGTCATATCCGTAGCACACGAAAGATATGAGGTAAAGTTTGTTAACTTGGACCTCGTCGACAAAGCTACCTTCTAAGGTAGCACACCAAAGACTTCTGTGATGCATGGATACCTCGAGCTTCACAGATAGCAAATGGGTCAAAGCAAACCGCCACTATAATTGCGGCGCGTGACAAAGAGTGGTCAGATCGTAGAGCAGCTACGGCAGCATATCGTACAAACCGTCCAAAGCGAACGGGCTATAATGCTGCAACAAAAGCGCGTGATAGATCTGGAGCTAGGCAACTAAAGCGGGAGGGAATGGGGCAGCTGGTGATCCTAACGTACCTCGAGGAATTATTCGGTGTTTCTTAAAAGTTTAACGGTAGACAACCTAGGCGGAACAAGAGCGCCGCTACTTATGTTAATTAGTTTTTTAGACGGCCGACTCAGAGGAAAACAGATGTTGACGAAAGAATTTAGAAAAAAAAGAAAAAAAAAAGAGGATGTGTGACGGCGAGGGAGGAAAAATAATAGAGGTGATGAAATAACCAAATCGATGTTATTTTAGGTAAGCTTGGTCGAGGGAGGTTTGTACTATGTATTGAAGTACATTGGTACTTGAATAGGTACATGCGTCTTGGTACTTTTTGATATAAATTTGGCGGTGGGCGGTGGGCGGCGTGCGTGTTAGCAAAGGCTGGTGGTAAGTGCACTGTACACTAAGATGGAGGTACCTAAGGGGACGGACGCAGGGGCCACAATGCGCAGAAAAAAACGTCGCTGTGGGTACCTCAGGTAGGTAGTAAGTGCATGCATCAATCTCTAAAATAAAACACTGCACGAAAGCTATGCACTCACCTAGTACTATAGGATGTAATTGTCTACTTAATATATATAAGGCATTTACATATGTAGATATCTAATTACATTTATATTAGTGTGAAGATGTAAAAGAATAGAAGAAGAAGAAAAAGGAAAATCTACGTATAATAATATTAACTTTCTCTCCTTTTCTGACCTTAGATAGATATGTCCTTTTTAGCCCCTGTTCATTTCAATGAAGGTCCAATGAAACCATATTTTAATAGGGCTACAGCTACAAGGGTACCGAAGTAGCGTATGTACATGCGCGTACAATGCGCTAAGGTTAGCGTATCGATAAAGTAAAGCACGCTAAGCATCATTTGGCTTTTTCTAAGCTTTTTTCGGTATAGAGCTTGTTTTCTGGAAGCTCGAATCCCTGTTAGTGAAAGCGAGAAAAAGAAATAAAAGAGGGAATTAAAAATACAAAAGAGGTAAATACATAGAAAAAGAAAAAGAAGAAAAAGAAAAACTTTCGGGGTCTTCGCGGGTCCGTCCCGATTCGGTACATTAGGTTAAGTGCCTTTCATTTAACTGATTTTAAAATGTGCATAGAACTTGAAGTGCACATATCGAGATACCTCCATTTATATCGAGATGAGTTCTCTTTTTATCATACCCGTTCTCCTCATCTGTAAGATCAATATGCGAACTTTTAAGCATGGTACGTGTGTGCTTAACTGCTAATACTATGGTTTGCTATGGTTTGCTATAGCTTGTGACGGGCTTCTATAGGCTGCACTGGTAAATAGGTATGTAGATATCAAACGCATAATTCGATCATGTACCCAGGCCACCCTCCAGGACCCAGGAGAAGGAACCGGTCAGAATAACTGCTTACCTTGGCACCAGGCACATTTATCATCCTGGCAAGAAGACCCATAGAACGATAGAACGGGACCCGCTCATACCATCCGCGATATTGGCATGATTATCTCCCCCAGACGTGCCATTGTACATAGTAATTGTACATAATCACTTTACTAAAACAGGTGAAACACCATTAAGGGTGAGCCTCTAAGTTAGGTTAGGTACGATACGAATGCTGAAGTCTACTACGTTAGGTATATACGGGGAATGAGACAGACCAGGCTACTTTTCTATACGGGCAACATCCCACTTATCTCATATACCTAACGGCAACTGACACCACGCATCAAAGGTGCATACATGAGGCATATGATATACATACATACGCTACATCATACTTAAGTCTATCCAAAACACATAAACTGCCGGGGTAGTACACATGTGCACATAAGAACGTATGCTCATATCTTAACGCTGTGCAATAGGTACTGTACCCAGTGCACTCGGACGTCGGAAGTAAGCATCTCGGGAAGACTGGTGATAAATCTTGGTAAGGTGACGAATACTGACTGCCCTGAGCAATGGAAAATACCAGTTACCAGTTACCAGCCGGTGCAGCTACTTTGACCTCGGAGCTTCAGGAGCCTAGACCTTTAACAGCAGCTCGAGAGTCACCCAAGAGTTACCTAAGGGAGGACCTGGGATTTTGGCGCGTACCGGAGACATGGTAAGAAGGTAAAGAATTAATGAGACGAGCGAAATATCCTTGTAAATAGGATGTACCTATAACGGCCTATCTGCTTGTGCGGCTTCTATGGGGACTCATCGTTTCCATAAATAGGGACCTGACCACAAACCAGCCACTAGACACGGGGGTGCATTCCGCTCAGTGACCGCAAAGAATACCAGGTAAAGGACCAGGTAGAATCGAAATTGCATATCCAGGCTTAACTGTATGATGGTAATCATGGTAATCCGGCCATAGTAAATTCGGGCTATTATGCAACAGGAACTCCAAATGCTTGAGCTTCCCACGTTTTATTCTTTTTCTTTGTCTTTACCTAGGTAAGTTCTGGGTAAGTTCTAATCCCGACCCTGTCACCTTTAGCTGGGTAGATAGTACTTCACCTACTTCATCTTATGTGCCGGGCAGTAGAATGAAACGTTATAGTGTAAATACAAAGTACCAAACGACGATACCCAGCCCGATGGGGATCCGTGTACGAGGCGAATACGTACCTTAAGGGGAGGTACCTATATTGCACCCACCCTATTCTACTTCCCGACAGCCCGAGCGCAAGGAAGTTATTCTTCCTTTTTCTTAGCTGTTTCTGACGGTATATCCAATCAGAACAGAGTATAGACAAAGTACAGAGGTAAAAACGACTGCTGCAGCACTCTCCGCTAGATAGCTGATAAGTTATAATTCAGATATCGAATTTTTACTTTTGATCCCAACAGTCGAATACTGGTATCGTCAAATGAGATAAATCTCCAACTTAACACGTCACTTTTGCTCTTCGCGGGAAGACGCAGATACTGCCGGGAAGATCCAGGGTACGTTAGGTACCTACAGGCATCAACAACCTTTCTTACACTCTGTCTCGTACGGTACCTATTCTACTACCTAGTTTCAACTCCAACTAAACTCCAACTCAACCCCAAGATCATGGGGGGGAGGGCGGAAGCACCACCAAGTAGTACCTATTAGCGTAGCATTCCTATCAGCATTACCACCAGCTGAGAACAACGCAGCTTGTAGCCTCGTGTGATCACGCTTATCTTCAGCTGCTCAGTAAGAGTACGACACGATACGATACATAACCACGTTTTTGACAGTGTATCCTCTTTAAGTGGCTATGACACTGCCTCTGCCATCGCACATACGGTATGGTATGGTATGGTATGGATACCTGGGTAGCTGTGGGGAAAGGCAAGGGTTCCATCAGCCAATGCACCTCAGCGCATGAGGTTTTCAAGCAGGCTTTGAAATTGGCCCTAACCCCAACACAGTAAGATTCTGGAAGATTTCGAGAAGCGGAAGAAAAAGCGCTGGACCCGGACGTGCCAACATTGAAAGGGTTTTTACCCTTTTTCGAAGGCATCAACCATCAACCCCCCCCCCCCCCCCCCCCTTTAACATTGCGTGGACAGAAAAGATACATACAACGCCTCCTTGGACATCTAGAACATCTAGCCACAACATACCTAATTACCTGGCAAGTTACATTTTCTCCCCTCCTTATCCCATCAGTTATGACAACGTTTCGATCTGATTATTCCTTATCCCTTAGGCCGAGCGCTTTGCCCGGGCATGGTCCCCCCCCCTTGGCCTAGGTCAAGGCAATAGATCGTTGCTTGATCCGTGACATGGAAATCTCCCGCGCCTTGCTAGCGGCACCTTCATTTCGCAGGCATTACAACAATGACATCAATTGGTTCAACCATGTGAGTTAAAAACATTCTCGAAGCTTTGCCGACCAACCTGCCAAAAGCGGAGCTTGCCTCTGCGCTTGCGCTTCTATGACTTCCACTATTTTCTTCTAGAACCACACAAACTGTTTAAATACGGGCCTTGGTTGTAACTTATCATGATGTACCAGCATGTAACAGGCTATGAGGTAGGTAGTTTGTGTATTATAATTTTTTTTGGTGAAAAGAGCTGGTTTAACCATCGCCATCTCCTTTATTAAATTGCACCTCAAAATTGTAAATTCATTAAATGAATGTTAAAGCACAGCCTCAAACAGTGCCAGTCAAGAGAATATCATGAGACGTAGTAATTTCAGAAGTAATATATGCAGCTACTTGTTTATATTTGTTCCACAAGTAAGAGGTATCTATACAATTAAACTGGCTAATAAGGTATGCAGTTAATGAATCAAAATATAAACTATTGTGATAATAAATGATTTCTTCTTGGATAATACCCAAGCAGCATTAGATGTCAAGCAAGAACTTTAAGTTTCTTGTCTACGCCATATTAATGGGCTGTATGAGGTACTCAGTCACTGTGGCAGTATGCGTTA